TCTTTCCAGGTCGCTCCTGATGTTTACAATGGAGAACTGTTTCTACCTGCTCATCTCTCAGGCCGTTCGGTACCTGAAAGACCCAGCAGTTCACGCACGGGACAAGCAGCGCATGAAGCAGGAGCTCAGCTCAGAGCTGGTAAGGAAATAATAATAATAATAATAATAATAATAATAATAATAATCGTCTGCTGTGGAGTCATCTTGTTGTGTTTCAAATAATAATAATAATAATAATAATAATAATAATAATAATAATAATAATAATTGTACTTCTAGAGGAGTCCCCAAGGGCCACCCAATCCAACCCCATTTATATTATAAAAGAAGACACAATCTGATTCCTCCCGACAGATGGCCATCCAGCCTCTGATTAAAAGGATTCTATTACCACTGCTTGCTTCTAAGAGTTGGGGGGAAAAGGCGTTTGCTAGCTTTGAGTATTGGGATCACGGGTGGAATAACAACAACAATTCTGAGCTGTAAGGAGTTTATATGATGATCAATACAGGTGCAACATAGTTAACATGCAGAGAGAAGAAAATGAGAGTGTTGAAACACGTCTATTAAAAGGCATTATAGTTAAAATATAATAATAATGTTTTTCAATATATTCCCTGCCTCTACTTTTGGCTCAAGTCCAGGCACAACATAGTTAAGTATATATCTCGTTAAGTACATCTTTAAGATCACATTAATTTGTGGTGTGCAGAGCATAATCGGGCATGTCTGCTTCTCTCCTTTCTTGCTTGCCTGCCTGCCTGCTTCCTTCCTCTCTCTCCTTACCTTCCTTTCTCCCTTCTGTCCTTCCTTTCTCCCTTCCTTCTTTCTTTTCTCCCTTCCTTCCTTCTTCCCGCTCTCTCTTCCTTCATCTCTTCCTCCCTCTCCTTCCCTCTCTTCCTTCCTTTCTCCCCTCCTTTTCACTCTTCTTTCCTTCCTTTCTCCCTTCCTTCTTTCCTTCCTCCTTTTCTCCCTCTCTCCCGTCCTTTCTCCCCCCCTCCCTTCTTCCTTCCCTCCTTTCTCTCTTCCTTCTGCCCTTTCTCCCTCCCTCTTTTCCCCCTTTTCTGCCCTTCTTCCTTCCCCCTCCTTCTCTTCCTTCCTCCTTCCCTCCCTTTTTTCCTTCCTTCCATTCATCCTTTTGTCTTCTTTCCTTTCTCCCTCCCTCTCTTCCTTTCTTCCCTCCTTCCTTTCTTCCTTTCATCCTTTTCTCTCTTCCTTTCTTCCTCCCTCCCTCCCTTTCTTCCTTCGTTCCTTTCTCACTCCCTCTCCTTCCTCCCTCCACCCTCCCTCCCTTCCTTCTTCTCTTCCTCCTTTTTCCCTCTTTCCCTTCCTTTCTCCCTACCTCCCTTCCTTCCACCCTTTCTCACTTCTTCCTTTTCTCCCCTTCTTCCTTTCTCCCTTCCTTCCTTTCTCCCTCCTTCTCTTACTTTCTGCCTCCCTCCCTCTTCCTTTCTCCTTCCCCCCTTCTTTCCTCCCTTCCTTCCATCCATCCTTTTCTCTCTTCCTTTTTTTCCTTCCTTCATTCCCCCGTCTCTTATTTCCTTCTTGCATTTCTCCCTTCCTTCATTATTTCCTTCCTTCCTTCCTTCCTTCCTTCCTTCCTTCCTTCCTTCCTTCCTTCCTTCCTTCCTTTCTCTCTCCCTCCCTCCCTCCCTTCTTTCCTTCCTTCCTTCCTTCCTTCCTTCCTTCCTTCCTTCCTTCCTTCCTTCCTTCCTTCCTTCCAGAGCACCCTCCTGTCCAGCCTTTCCCGCTACTTCCGCCGCGGGGGCCCTTCCTCCCCGTCTTCGGGGCCCCTCCCTTCTCCGCAGGGCAAGCCTCCCTCCAAATCGGGGCCCGAAGCGCAGGAGCCGCTCTTCCAGCTGGTGCAGGCCTTCGTCCGACACGTCCAGAGATAAGGCTCCCTTCCGGAAGGAGGATCCCTTTCCACCTGCTCCGGGGGTCGGGGGTCAGTCCAGGGCCTCCGGGCGAGGGACGTCGTCGCTGCCGTTTGGGGTTTGGGAGGAGACAGAGAGGGATTCCCGGGCTCCCGGGCATGGAGTTCCCGTTACAAAGACGATGCCTCCTCTCTCTGGCCGAGGGACGGACTTCCCGTCACGATTGCGGAACGGACCAAGCTCCTCCTTCCGCCTCTTCCTTCAAAAGACTCCATTGTTGTTTTTTTAAAAAAAACGCCAGGCTTTCTGTCGCTTCCTTTTTTTTGTACGACTCGTTCCCTATTTATACTGATTAAAAACACACACACTTACGTTTCTAAGCAATCCCGGGACCGTCCTTTTTTTCCCAAAGCATCGCCATGACACTTGCATTCTCGTTTCAGTGCAGCCAGAAATAAACCCGAGTTTCCTTAAGCCAGGAGGGAGCTCGAAGGAGTAGGGGGAGCTTGGGAGGAAGAGCAGGAAAGGTTTGGATATGAACCAGGGAAGCCCAGCGTCAGGTAGGAAGTCTTTTTAAATGTCACTACAAACATGGAAAGCTGTTTTGCTCTTTGGGATTATGACCTACCTCCCAGTGGGACTCAAAAGGGGCTTTGAGCCTTGTTTGAGGGGAGAAAGTGAGCTAATAGTAGTAGTAGTAGTAGTAGTAGTAGTAGTAGTAGTAGTAGTAATAACGGAAAGCCAATATTTTACTCTTTGGGATTATGACCTACTTCCCCGTGGGACTCGAAAGGGGCTTTGAGCCTTGTTTGAGAGGGGAAAGTGAGCTAACAACAACAACAACAATGGAAAGCCAATGTTTTGCTTTTTGGGATTTTTACCTACCTCCCAGTGGGACTCCAAAGGGTCTTTGAGACTTGTTTGAGGGGGGAAAGTGAGCTATTATTATTAATAATAATAATAATAACAACAACAACAACAGAAAGCCGATGTTTTGCTCTTTGTGATTATGACCTACCTCCCAGTGGGACTCGAAAGGGACTTTGAGCCTTGTTTGAGAGGGGAAAGTGAGCTAATAATAATAATAATAATAACAACAACAACGGGAAGCCAATGTTTGCTCTTTGGGATTATGACCTACCTCCCAGTGGGACTTAAAAGGTGCTTCGAGCCTTGTTTGAGGGGGAAAGTGAGCTAATAATAATACTGTAAATAAATAAGTGAGCTAATAATAATAATAACAACAGCAACAGAAAGCCAATGTTTTGCTCTTTGGGATTATGACCTACCTCCAAGTGGGACTTCAAAGGCACTTTGAGCTTTGTTTGAGAGGGGAAAGTGAGCTAATAATAATAATAATAACAACAACAACAACGGAAAGCCAATGTTTTGCTTTTTGGGATTATGACCTACCTCCCAGTGGGACTTGAAAAGTGCTTTGAGCCTTGCTTGAGAGGGGAAAGTGAGATAATAACAACAACAGAAAGCCGATGTTTTGCTCTTTGGGATTTTGTACCTCCTAGTGGGACTCGAAAGGTGCTTTGAGCCTTGTTTGAGAGGGGAAAGTGAGCTAATAATAATACTGTAAATAAATAAGTGAGCTATTAATAATAATAACATCAACAACGGAAAGCCGATGTTTTGCTCTTTGGGATTACGACCTACCTCCCAGTGAGACTCGAAAGGTGCTTTGAGCCTTGTTTGAGAGGGGAAAGTGAGCTATAAATAACAACAATAACAGTAGAGTCTCGTTTATCCGACCTTCAATTATCTGACATTCCATCTTATCCGACGCTCTTATGCAGCATTTCCCCTTCAATTAAAGGAGCACTCCTCAACTCTCTTCTTCTCATCTTGGGAAAAAGGCAAGATGAGAAGAACGAGGAGGGAGGAAAAGGGGAAAAGAGGCAGGACCGGAAGTGGAAGTGTCCTCCCTCTTTCCCTCTGTGATTTCCATGCTCCTCTTACACATCTGGGCACTTCCTGCTTGGCCACTCTCGCCCCGAAGCGCCCTGCCTTGCTTCCTGTGCTATGTTAATGATATAATATAATATAATATATTGTATATACATATAATATTTATAATATTATAATGTAATGCAATATAATACTACTACTAATAATATAATATAAGTATATATTTATATTACATGTAATAATAATATTACAATATAATGGTGTAGTATAATAAAGTAATATATAATACTGATATTGTACTATGTTAATAAAATATATTGTATATACATATAACATTTATAATATTATAATGTAATGCAATATAATCCTAATAATAATAATAGGATATTATAAATATATATTTATGTTACATGTAATATTGCTAATAATATTACCATATAATGGTATAGTACAGTATAGTAATATTTAATGTGTAATAATAATAATAATAATAATATATTGACACAGTGGGATAAACCACTGAGCTGCTAAACTTGTTGACCAAAAGGTCACAGATTTGAATCCGGAAAGTAGGGTGAGCTCCCATTGTCAGTCCCAGCTTCTGCCAACCTAGGAGTTTCCCATATCAACTTCGGGCAATATGTGTGTAATAATAATAATAATAATAATAATAATAATAATAATATATTGACACAGTGGGTTAAACCACTGAGCTGCTAAACTTGTTGACCAAAAAGTCACAGGTTTGAAGCCGGGGAGTGGCGTGAGCTCCCGCTGTCAGCCCCAGCTTCTGCCAACCTAGCAATTCGAAAACATGCAAATGTGAGTAGATCAATAGGTACTGCTCAGGCGGGAAGGTAACGGCGGTACATGCAGCCATGCTGGCCACATGACCTTAGAGGTGTCTATGGACAACGCCGGCTCTTCAGCTTAGAAATGGAGAGGAGCACCTCTCCCTGGGGTTGGACAAGACTGGACTTTACGTCAGGGGAAACCTTTACCTATTATTATTATTATTATTATTATTATTATTATTATTATTATTATTATTATATTTATCATACTAGTAATCATATTAGTATCTTATATCTCTCACATATTATTACAACTCCCGTTATGGTGAGTCGGTCCCCTCAAACCCCTGGACATGACTAGACTTAATGTCAAGGGGAAATCTTTGCATATATATGAAGAAAAGCATGACAGAACGACAGGCCAGGCGCTTTATTGGCAAATGTCAGTCATTATTCTAGATATAAGATGTGCCACACCAAAATGCTCTGCAACCAGGATTAAATTGTTAGAGGGATCTCGGAAAAGAAGAAAAGAAATAAGCGCAGCCATATCCGGAAGGGCAAGCCGATGGGAGAGAATAGTAATCTCCGGGTTCTTCTCTCGCTCCGGAGAAGGAAATATGGCTTACTCGAAGGCAAGGAGGAGGGTCCGCTGTGAGTTTCGTACGCTTCCAAGTTGGGGGTTTCATTAAGTGTCCAAGCGAAGAGAAAAGTGTCCGGGAAAAAGTGGCATCCAAGTCCGGTGAGACGAAAATAAATTAAAAAGCGTGCAGAGAGAATGCTCTTTGGATCAGCCGTGGAAGGAAGCAACAAAAGACGGCGAATCTCCATCCTTCCTTTCGGGGTTGCGTTCATCCCTTTCTTTGGAATTTCATCTCGCCAACTGGGGACGAGTCTTCCTTCTCCATCTACGATTCACAGTTCTCGAGTACAGTTAGGGCCGAAAGTGGGGAACGAATTAAGCTCGGAATGTACAAAACGGACAAGAAGACGTCAGCCCGACGACGGCGGTACGAAGTGGGTGCAGCGAGCAGAGGAAAAAGAAGAGAGTCCGTTCCAAAAGCCTTGTTGCAACTCGTCATCGGTGCGGCCTCGAACCAAAGTGAAGAGGGGGGAAAAATATAATCCGACCTGAAACGAGCAAATGGTCTTGGATCAAGACCCTTTTTTGGGGAGGGAAAAAAACGATGTCGAGGAAGGGGGACCGCTTAGCTGAGCAGTTCCAGGTAGGTGACGGGGACCTTGCCCTTCTGGTTGCCCCTCTCGCCTACGAGCCAATCGGGGTCCATCCCTGGGAGGCTGTACACCGTGATCATCTGTGAGAAAGAGGCAGGAAGACACTAGTCAAATGTGGGCAAAAGTCCCCCATGAGCTCCTTGCAAGCAAACAATTCTAGGCCCCACAGTTCAGAAGGGATATTGGGTCTAAGCTGGAAGGTGTCCAGAGGAGGGCGACTAAAAGGATCAAAGGCTTGGAGACCACGAATAATCCCTCTGAGGAGCGTCTTAAAGAGCTGGGTCTATTTACCCTCAGAAGGGAAGATTGCTCACTTCCTGATATCTCAGTGCCGTCTCAGTCAGAGACAACGCAAGGCTGACCAGGGGATTTCTAATGAATGGCTCCTTGTTGGAATGAACAGAAAGCATGGATCTGGTGGTACGCACCTCGTCAGAGAGAAGGGAGAGCTCGCTGCTGTCGGCCGCCTCGTAGTCGTAGAGGACGCGGGCCTTGCGGGTGCCACTGGCCGGGGGCTTCACGTCGCTGGCGTTGAGCGCTTCCACGGACGGGGCGGACCCCGGGGCACCGACAGCGGTGGGCACAACCGGGATGGTGGGCACGGCTGGGCCTGCGACGGAAGAGGCGGCGGCGGCAACAGTAGGGGAAGCATTGTCCGGCGGAGGAGAGGCGGACTCCGCGTTGCCCACAAAAGTCCCTGGAAGCCTAAGAAGGGGACAGAAAAAGGACATTATGTTGAATGTGTTTTTCTTTATTATAGTATGTTTTGTTTATTAGTTGATTGTATTGTACGGCACTGAATATTTGCCGTTACAATGTTCCCCCGCTACTTTGTGGTTTGCTTTTTGCAGATTTGCTGTTTCGCAGGTTTTTGCCCGCCATTGGCCCACAACGCTACTATTGTTTTTTATTCGGAATATGTGGCCCGCCCATTGTCATCTCTATTGTGATTGTGTCTATTGGAATGTTTTTTATTTTATTATTTTATTTTATTTTAATGTCATTTTGATAATGTTGTTGTTGTCTGTTGTATATGCTTTGATTTTATTGCTGTATTATGTTGTCCGGGCTTGGCCCCATGTAAGCCGCTCCGAGTCCCCATCGGGGAGATGGTGGCGGGGTAGAAAAAAAGATTATTATTATTATTATTATTATTATTATTATTATTATTATTATTATTATTATTATACTACCGGTTGTCAATCTCAGCTTGTTTACCCTACCAGGCCACCAATGAAGCTCAGAGGTGAGGCTGCCTCCCATTTTATGAATGGTTGCCGTTGCCTAGAGCAAAGTAGTATGTAAATCATAGCCTTATAGCCCCTTCCTTATAGCTAGTAAAAAAAAAAAAAAAGGTGTGTGGTGCCTTTGAATCTCTCCTCGCTTCTGCTATATAGCGTCCCTACTTTGTGGATTTTCACTTTTTGTGGGTGGTCCTGGAACATAAGACCTGCGATAAGTGAGGGAATACTTTATATTTATTTATTATTTATTTATTTGCTTTATTTCTATACCGCATTTTTCAGCCTAATTCGGTGACTCAATGCGGTTTACACAGTACAAATCATCATAACAATAACAAGTAGTTAAAACACATCATATACAACAGACAAAACAACAATCAATTATCATATCAACGCCTCAGTAAAAATCAGAATCCGTTCTCATAATCCTTATACCATTTCCTATGTTCGATTATACCGCCTTCCTGTGTTCAGTTACACTGTTTAGCCAAATGTTATTGGCCACCCTGAGTCCCCACTTGGGAAATAGGGTGGGATACAAATAAAGTTGCTTATTATTATTACTACAGTAGAGTCTCACTTATCCGACATAAACAGACCAGCAGAATGTCGGATAAACAAAAATGTCGGATAATACGGAGTCTCCTACTGTTACCTGTATGACGCGGAACTAGACACCTAGAATAATAATTCAAAGGGTGAAGGCAAGGCAAGGCCTCGGGGGTAGAGTGACCCTGCTGTGAAGTGCCCGGATGCGGGAGAGGAGCGTGGAAATCACAGAGGGAAGGAGGGGGATGCTTCCGCTTCTGGACCTGCCTCTTTTCCCCCCTTCATCCCTCCTCCTCCTCCTCCTCCTCGTCTTGCCTTTTTCACCTATTGGGAATGCAGAGAGAGTTGGGAAGCGCTCCATTCCCAATAGGTGAAAGGGAGGGCCTCGGATAAGATGGAATATCGGATAAGCGAAGGTCGGATAAGTGAGATTCTGCTGTATCAGTCATTGGCTAGTTGCATCTTTACAAGTGAATAATATGTCACAAGGAGAAAACAAAGAGGGGCGAGGGTTGTTGGGGTATGGGGAATAGTGTGACATAATTATCATTGCTAATACTAAGTCTTCCTCTCTGTTTCATAAAATTGTATTACATGAATGTATGGCATCAAGTTTGACAATTCTTTGACCCGCCTTGAGTCGGCGTAAGGCTGAGAAAGGTGGGCTGCAAATACTGTAAGTAAATAAATAATATATAAAACATCGGGTGGGGGGATGCCAGCTAGCTTGTAGACTTTACCAAACAGGATCAGATTTAGATTCCTCTCCTTCACTCTCCCGAAACCCCCTCCCAACCTCCTTCGGGTCTTTTTACTCACATTTCTCCTCTGGAACTGGACGCAAAGGGAAAGAAGGAGAGACAAGACAGTATCAACGTAGTGCGGCCATAAAGCATCCCCTGTCATTGTGTCATAATGGCACCAAGGGATGGTCCCAAAACATGTTGTTTTGGAAAACACAGATGGATCTCACAACATGGCCACCTGCTTGAAGACCACAGAAATCCCAGAGAATCAAGAATAACACGGTGTTGTCTCCTTACCTGCCCAGCTGCTTCTGGAGGTCCAGCATGTACTGGTAGCACTGGGCATAGTAGGTGGTCTGCGCTTCTGCAAACTCATGGAGGCAGCGGAGATGGTTGACCTGGACCCAGAGAAGAAGGGAAACCCGTAAGACAAGAACACCCAAGTCGATGGCCAAGTCGGGGACAGGACAAGAACGGATCTAAGATGTGGCACCCATCACCAAGATGGACGCTTCCATTGTCACATTGAGTACCAGATGGATGCTCCCATTGCCTTATTGGGAATGGGACAGACACTCCTGTTGCTAAGTTGTGTACAGGACAAGGCTCCTGTCGCCTGGTTGGATACATGATAGGACTCCTGATACCATATTGGCTACAGGATGGGACTTCCATCGCTTAGTTGGGAGTAAGGCAGCTCCGGTTACCATGTTGGGCCCTGAGTGGTTGCTCCATCAGCTTGTTGGGTATGGGATGGGGCTCCCGTTGCCTTGTTGGGTATAGGATGCAAAATGGAGGCCCCACTGACACGTGAGTACAATTGGGATGCTTACATTCCCATGCTGGTTATGGGATGGATGCTCGCATTGACATATTCGGAATGGGGTGGGTTCTCCTGCTGTATTGGAGATGGGACAGGGCTCCCGTTGCCCACTTGGGTACAAAATGGAGTTCCCACTGCCAGGTTGGATATGGGATGGATCTCCTCTCTCTCAGTTAGGCACAAGACAAGTATCCCGTTGTCATGTTGGTTATGGGACAGGGCTCCCATTGCCCAATTGGGTACAAGATGGTTCCCACTGCCACATTGTGTATTTGATGGATGCTCACATTGTCATATTGGGAATGGGATGGGACAAAGGTCGCGTTGCCCAATTGGGTAAAAGGCAGAGCACCCACTACCATGTTGTAGATGGAACAGGGCTCCCATCCCCCACTTGATGTGGGGAATGGGATGGGTCTTCTGTCTCCGAGTTGGGCACAAGACAGGTCTCCCTTTGCTATATTGGGTATGGGATAAGTCCTGCCACAATGGATATAGGACAGGGCTCCTCTCACCCACTTGGGTATAAGACGGAGTTCCCACCACCACTTTGGATATGGGATGGGTCTCCTCTCTCCCAGGTGGACACAAGGCAGGTGTCCCCTTGCCATGTTGGGTATGGAACTGGACTCCCGTTGCCCACTTGGGTACAAGACAGAGTTCCAACTGCCACATTGAGTATAGGTTGGGTCTCCTGTCACCCCGTTGGGCACAAGACAGGTCTCTCGTTGCCATGTTTGGTATGGGATGGTTGCTCCTGCCATATTGGAGATGGGACAGGACTCCCGTTGCCCACTTGGGTACAAGTTGGAGTTCCCACTGCCACGTTGGATATTGGATGGGTCTCCTCTCTCTCAGGCACAAGACAAGTATCCCATTGTCATGTTGGGTATGGGACAGGGCTCCCATTGCCCAGTTGGGAATAAGACTGAGTTCCCACTACCATGTTGTATATGGAACTGGACTCCTGTTGCCCACTTGGGTACAAGACAGAGTTCCCACTGCCACATTGGGTATAGGTTGGGTCTCCTGTCTCCCAGTTGGGCACAAAACAGGTCTCCTGTTGCCATGTTGGGTATGGGATGGGTGCTCCTGCCATATTGGATATGGGACAGGCCTCCTGTTGCTCACTTGGGTACAAGACAGAGTTCCCACTGCGATGTTGGGTATGGGGTGGGTCTCCTGTCACCCCGTTGGGCACAAGACAGGTCTCCTGTTGCCATGTTTGGTATGGGATGGGTGCTCCTGCCATATTGGAAATGGGACAGGCCTCCTGTTTCCCACTTGGGTAGAAGACAGAGTTCCCACCGCCACATTGGTTACGGGGTAGGTCTCCTGTCTCCCAGTTGGACACAAGACAGGTGTCCCCTTGCCATATTGGGTATGGAACTGAACTCTCGTTGCCCACTTGGGTATAAGACGGGGTTCCCACTGCGATGTTGGGTATGGGGTGGGTCTCCTGTCTCTCTATTGGGCAGAAGACAGGTCTCCCGTTGCCATGTTGGGTATGGGGTGGATGCTCCCATGACCCCCCTAGACCCAAAAGCAGAGCCCCCGCTGCCACTACAAAGCCCCTTTTGAGGATGGGGACGGGGGGTCTCACATGGGTGCTGCTGATCCCTTCGAGGAGGAGGCGGGTCACTTCCGCTTGCCGGTCAAACTCCGTCTGAGCCACCCGGAGCTCATGTTCCGCCTGCAAGAAAACGGAGAAGTCGTCTTAGTCATAACGGCCTAAAGCAGTGTTTCTCAACCTTCCTAATACCACAACTCCTGAATACAGTTCCTCATGTTGTGATGACCCCCAACCATAAAATGACTTTCGTTGCTACTTCACAACTGTCATTTTGCTACTGCTAAGAATTGTAATAAATATCTGATATGCAGGATGTATTTTCATTCACTGGACCAGATTTGGCACAAATACCCAATACGCCCAAATTTGAATACTGGTGGGGTTGGAGGGAGATTGATTTTATCATTTGGGAGTTGTAGTTGCTGGGATTTATAGTACACCTACAACCAAAGAGTTCTCTGAACTCCACCAATGATGGAATTGAACCAATCTTGGCACACAGAACTCCCATGGCCAACAGAAAATACTTGGAGAGTTTGGTGGGCATTGACCTTGAGTTTGGGAGTTGTAGTTCACCTACATCCAGAGAGCATTGTGGACCCAAACAGTGATGGATCTGGACCACACTTGGCACAGATACTCAATATGCCCAAATGTGAACACGGGTGAAGTTTGGAGAAAATAGACCTCGATTTTGGGAGTTGTAGTTGCTGGGATTTATAGTTCACCTACAATCAAAGAGCATTCTGAACCTCACCAACAATAGTTTTGGGTTTGATGACTCATGACATCGGCACAAAATCAATCTCTGGAAGTACGCATGAAACGTCTTGCTATGAGTCTAAGACATAACAGCTTTTTTTGGAAGTCCATCTCCCAGAATCCACCCTGCTGGCCAATGGAATCGCAATACAATCCTCCCCATGGAATCGTTCTACGAAATTGTAATGGTTGGCGGTACTTACTTTTTCCACCTCGTCGCTCCACAGCTGCGGGACCCGTAGAGCAAACAGGAAAGGAAGGCAGTCAGCACCGGAAGGAGACGAGGGCCATGACGTCAAGGGGCCACGTCCCACAACGAAAACAGCCGCCATTGGGAGGAAGTGCAGGCAGAGGAGCCACGCCACGGGACACATTGGGTTAAATCCAGGGTCAGAGGGCACCTGTCGCTCGGCGGAAGACGGCCAGAGAGCCAAGCGTGCCCAAAGGTGTGCATGGCCGTAATGGAGGAATGGCCCTCCACGCCCCACAAAATGCTAACACCACTAATAATACTTAGGAAAGGTACCTGTATACTTATCAACACCATAGCTTGACTGATACCCAGGTATCTGATGAAATAACGTAACTTCGAGGGATGGAGCATTTCCTGGAGGACCAACACATTACTAGAGAGGACATCCTTCGGGAAATTTTCTATGTCCTCTAGGCGATTCTATGGATTCTATGGATTCCACCGGACGTTCCCATAGAATCATCCTGGAGGTCCTATTCCATTCCTAGTGAATTCCTCCAAAGGTGGAGAATTCACCCTTGGAAGGAGTCTGAATAGCAATGTCTACCGAATTCGAGAAAACTCCGAGTCCCCTCTTGGGATCCAGCGAGACTCTCTGCTCACCTGACTCCAGAACTGGCTCAGAGGTGATGGAAGCAACGGCATACTTCCACTGGAAATTGCTATAGAGGATCTACAATTTCCTAGAGGAGGAAACCTTGTTAAGATCCTCCAGGCAAATTTGTGGTTCCTGTAGAATGTTTCATAGAATCATCTTGGAGGTCCTCCAAAGGTGGAGAATCCAACCCTTTAAGGAGTCTACTCCGCTGCTGAATAGTAATCACCATCACTACGTTCTTCCCATTCGTTCAGGTGGAATCCTTTCTCGTAAGAATCCAAGAAAACTCAAGAGTCGTCTCTTGGGATCCAGTAAGGCTGAATGTTCCCATAGAATCATCCAGGAGGTCCTATTAAATTACTAGTGAGGTTCTCCAAAGGTGGAGAATCCAACCCTTGAAGGAGTCTACTCTGCTGCTGAATAGCAATGACCACCACTACGTTCTCCCCATTCATTCAGGTGGAATCTTTCCTCGTAATTTCGAATTCGAGAAAACTCTGAGTACCCTCTTGGGATCCAGCAAGACTGAATTTTCCCATAGAATCATCCTGGAGTTCCTATTAAATTACTAGTGAGGTCCTCCAAAGGTGGAGAATTCAACCCTTGCAGGAGTCTACTCCGCTGATGAATAGCAATGACCACCACTACGTTCTCCCCATTCTTTCAGGTGGAATATTTTCTCATAATTTCGAATTCGAGAAAACTCCAAGTACCCTCTTGGGATCCAACAAGGCTGAATGTTCCGGTAGAATCATCCTGGAGGTCCTATTAAATTACTAGTGAGGTCCTCCAAAGATGGAGACTCCAACCTTGAAAGAGTCTACTCCACTGCTGAATAGCAATGACCACCACTATGTTTTCCCCATTCGTTCAGGTGGAATCTTTTCTCGTAATTTCAAATTCGAGAAAACTCCGAGTCTCCTCTTGGGATCCAGCAAGGCTCTCTCTCCTCACCTGACTCCGGACCCAGCTCAGAGGTGATGGAAGCAACAACATACTTCCACTGGAAATTGCTATAGAGGACCTACAATTTCCTCGAGGAGGAGGCTTGTTAAGGTCCTCCAGGGAAATTTGTGGTTCCCATTTAATGTTCCCATAGAATCATCCTAGAGGTCCTATTAAATTACTAGTGAGGTCCTCCAGAGATGGAGAATCCAACCCTTGAAGGAGTCTACTCCACTGCTGAATAGCAATGACCACCACTACGTTCTCCCCATTCGTTCAGGTAGAATATTTTCTCGTAATTTCCGATTTCCCCCCTTTTCTTTTTTTTTTCCTCACTGGGAACGTCGGGACGGCATTTGTTCTGCATGGGATAAACAATTTGGGGGCTCATCCGGGATAGGAACCCGGGACCTCTCAATTCAAAGGTGGCTTCACCAATCTGGATTCCCATTCCTCACCACTAAAGAGTCCCCTCTTGGGATCCAGCAAGGCTCTCTGCTCGCCTGACTCCGCACTCAGCTCAGAGGTGATGGAAACGAATGCCAAACGCTGTCCGCAGCACAAGACATGACAAAATGCAAGTAACAAGCGGGAAGAGGAGGAGGAGGAGGGAAGGAAGGGGCGAAGTAAAGAAGAGTCCAAACTTTCCAGAGGGGCCTTTGGCATTTCTTTCCCACAGCAGGCCCTTCGCCCGGCCCACTCCAGGACAGAGGCTGCTCTGACCAGCGGGTTCATTGAGATGCTGGCAAGGCAGGGAGGCTGGCATGGAAGGGGGAAAAACAACAACAACCAAACAGAATCGATGTAATTATTACTGTTATCTTGAGAAAATGAGGACGATGGTTCCGATTCACAAGGACAGCGACCTGTGACCAAAATTCACCCAAAAACAAATGCAGAAGGAACAAGGGAGAAGCAGCACAAAGTAGATGTGGTTTCGACAGCAGAAGCCATGCGGGTTTCCCCCCTTTTCTTTTTTTTTTTCCTCACTGGGAACGACGGGATGGCATTTGTTCTGCATGGGATAAACAATTTGGGGGCTCGTCCGGGATAGGAACCCGGGACCTCTCAATTCAAAGGTGGCTTCACCAATCTGGATTTCCATTCCTCACCACTAAAGAGTTTTGTATTGCCAGGTTGGGCATTTTGGGAGTTGCAGCCCCAAAAAGGGTAACTAACCCTTTTGTTTTGTTAATCTTATTGGGGGAAACCTTGGGATGTCATGCACCATCTTTATGGGGGGAAACTCGGCCACAAATTGGAAGTGTTTCTGATACAAGAAGCTGGCAAATTTTCTATTTAATGAAAGCGATATAGCAATTTCGTTGCTGTACATCCTTGATTTGCTAAGATTGAGGGCATTCTACGACCCATGACTGAAAGGTTCTTTTCTCCTCCATAAACTCCAATGGAGAACCCGCTCTGGAAAAGAAATGCACAGCATGGGATGCGAGATTCCCCCGAAATAGCTCAGAAGCGAAGCAGTTGACTACTTCTACCGCAAGCAAGACTTGGCTACCTAAAAGGATTTCTACAAAGTGGACCCAACACTGATGCCATCTGTGAGGACTCTGTACAACGCAATGGCCGTATCATCTGCGTACAGTGCAACGGCCATATTACCATTCCCAGAGAAGCTCTGTTTACGAAATCCCACGATTGCAATTCAGTCGCACAGAAGGGCATCAGTGTTGCTCCACCGGCGACCCAGGAAGCAAAAAAAGGCAAGGGGTTTTTCAACATTTTAACGGTCGATGGGACACGCAGTACATTCGGAGGACTATCCGGTTGCGAAGATGGAAGGTTGGCACAAATTAAGCAGCATTCGTCTTCTGGTAGCCAAAGACGACCAAAGATATGGCCATATTCCTTTGAGTGGCCAGTTTCTCTTCACCAGCAGGAAAGAGGGCATTGTTTGTGACCAAAGACTAGAAGATATACGTTCCAGGCCATCTTCTCCACACTCAGATCTCAACTCCATGAAAGACAGCACAGTCTCTTTCCCAGAGAAAGGAAGACAAGAGTTGTCTTCTTTGCCTGATGGGTTCTCGATTTATTCTCGGCTTGGAAGAGACCTCTGTAATCTCCATTATAGAGGATATTTACGCTTTAAGCAACAGAGAAGGGGCCCAAATTATGTTCTGATATGTGATCTAGATCACAAATCACTATACGTGGTGGATGATCCTGGAAGGCCAACATCCTACAGGATGAAGAAACTGAATCCGTTCAGAAAAGGGCACAGAGATTTTCCTCAAAAGGGTTGGTGGATGTCAACATGGTTGTGACCATGCCTCACCAAAAGCTAGGAGATCTTTCCATGCAAGAAGACTTTATATGTCAAAATGTCTGAGAACTTTTCGTCAAAAAGGACATCGGGGCAGAGACCAAAAGTTGACTCTGATAAAGAAACTTTTGAATTCGGTTAGAGCTATTCGTCAAAAGAGTTGGTCAACGTCAACATGGCTGAAGACCGTGCATCATCAAAAGTCGGAGATCTGTTCCTCAAAAAAGACATCATGGCTGAGATCTTGCATCATCAAAATTTGGAGAGCTTTCCATCAAAAATGTCAAGAGTATGCCAACATTATTGAGAACTTGCATCACCAAAAGTTGGACTTGGTATAGAAACTCTGAATCTGGTCAGAAAAGAGACTCGGAGCTGTCCGTCAAAAGGGTTGGTGAACATCAGCATGGCTGAGATCTTACGTTGTCAGAAGTTGGAGATATTTTCCCCTTAAGAGGACATTGTGGCCAAGACCTTACATCGTCAAAGTTTGGAGAGCTTTGCATCAAAAAGGACATCATGGTTGAGAATTGCACCGTGAAAAGTTGGAGATCGGTTCCTCAAAAAAGGTTAAGAGTAGTTCAACAGGATTGAGAGCTTATATCATCAAAAGTCAAACTTTCCACAGGAAAGGACATCGCCTGTCAACATATCTGAGACCTTACATTATAAAAAGTTGTAGAGCTTTTCATCAGAAACGACATCATGGCTGAGATCTTGCATCTTCAACATTTGGAGAGCTGGTTTGCTGTGAGTTTTTTGAGCTGTCTGGCCATGTTCCAGCAGCATTATCTCCTAACGTTTTCCCTGCATCTGTGTCTGGTATCTTCAGAGGTTCTGTTGAAGATGCCAGCCACACCTGCAGATGAAACATCAGGAGATAATGCTGCTGGAACATGGTCCTACAGCCTGAAAAACTCACAACAACCCAGTGATTCCAGCCACGAAAACCTTCGACAACACATTTGGAGAGCTTTCCATCAAAAAAGATATCATGGCTGAAACCTTGCATCACCAAAATTGGAGCTCTGTTCATCAAAAAGGACATTGTGACCAAGACCTTGCATCATCCAGATTTGGAAAGCTATCAGGTAGGACATCATGGTCGATACCTTGCATCATCAAAGTTTGGAAAGCTTTCCATCAGAAAGAACATCCTGGCCAAGAACTTTAATCATCAAAGTTTGGAGAACTTTTCATCAGAAAGAACATCATGGCTGAGACCTTGCATCATCATGGTTTGGAGAGCTTTCCATCAGAAAGAACATCTTGGCTGAGACCTTGCATCATCATGGTTTGGAGAGCTTTCCATCAGAAAAAAACATCATGGTCAAGACCTTCCATTCTCATAGTTTGGAGAGCTTTCCATCAGAAAGAACATCATGGCTGAGACGTTGCATCATCATAGTTTGGAGAGCTTTCCATCAGAAAAAAACTTCTTGGCTGAGACCTTGCATCATCATAGTTTGGAGAGCTTTCCATCAGAAAAAAAAATCATGGTCAAGACCTTGCATTCTCATAGTTTGAAGAGCTTTCCATCAGAAAGAACATCATGGCCAAGACCTTGCATTCTCAGTTTGGAGAGCTTTCCATCAGAAAGAACATCATGGCCGAGACCTTGCACCATCAATGTTTGGAGAGTTTTCCATCAGCAGGAACATCATGGCCAAGACCTTGCATCATCATGGTTTTGAGAGCTTTCCATCAGAAAGAACATCGTGGTCAAGACCTTGTATCATCATGGTTTTGAGAGCTTTCCATCAGAAAGAACATCACGGTCAAGACTTTGCATTCTCATAGTTTGGAGAGCTTTCCACCAGAAAGATCATGGTCAAGACCTTGCATCTTCATGGTTTTGAGAGTTTTCCATCAGAAAGAACATCATGGCAGAGACCTTGCATCATCAATGTTTGGAGAGCTTTCCATCAGAAAGAACATCACGGTCAAGACCTTGCATTCTCATAGTTTGGAGATCTTTCCATCAGAAAAAAAAACATCATGGTCAAGACCTTGCATCATCATAGTTTGAAGAGCTTTCCATCAGAAAGAACATCATGATCAAGACCTTGCGGCATCATAGTTTGGAGAGCTTTCCATCAGAAAGAACATTATGGCCGAGACCTTGTATCATCATGGCTTGGAGAACTTTCCATCAGAAAAAAAACATCATGGTCAAGACCTTGTATTATCATAGTTTGGAAAACTTTCCATCAGAAAAAACACCACGATCAAGACCTTGCATCATCAATATTTGGAGAGCTTTCCACCAGAAAGAACATCATGGCTGAGACCTTGCATCATCATGGTTTTGAGAGTTTTCCATCAGAAAAAAACATCATGGTCAAGACCTTGCATTCTCATAGTTTGGAGAGCTTTTCATCAGAAAGAACATCATAGCTGAGGCTTCCATCATGAAAAGTTGGGAGATTGTTCCTCAAAGTTGGACATGGAAACACTCTCTTGGTGGCAATGAATAGGAGATCTTGACCTCCAGGGTGAAGATGCTACGACCCATTATGGCTTAATGTCCAGCGCCTCCACACCACCGAGTAGGAGCCCCTGTCCTACCACCACGTTAAAATGTTGAAAACAGGATGGATGTTTGGTTAGAGAGGAGAAGAGGAGGAAAGAGAGGCGAGATCATACAAAGACCGATGGAGGGGGGAGTGGGGTCTTACCGCAGAGGCGCTGGCAGAGAGAATGTAATTACGCGGTCTAGTCTCGTTAAAGTCGGGCACGGCCTACACAGCAGCGGGGAACACAAGTTCACGTACAGATCATCGAGGAGAAACTACAACTCCCAGGACCCCGTGGTTCGAGAGGGAGGGGGGGTCAAACTGCATTAATCCTACGGTGTGGATGCGCCTGAGAATCCTGACCAAGGAGTCAAACTTACCGTGATGGTCCAGTTCTGGGATCCCTCTCCCCCTCCCCCAACTGATTAGGGCTTATTTTTGTAGTAGGGCTTATTTTCCCAAATTGACTTTTCATGGACTCTAATTAGTTCTTATTTTTAGGGCTTATTTTTTGGGGTAGGTCTTATTTTTCTAAATTGACTTTTTCAAGAACTCTAGGGCTTATTTGTGAAGTGAGGCATATATTTCAAGCATCCTCGAAAACCATATTAGGGCTTATTTTTGGAATAGGTCTTATTTTTTTCCAACTTGACTTATTTCGTGAACCCTAACTAGGGCTTATTTTTTAAGCAGGACTTATATTTTGCTCATTCTCGAAATACTTGAAAACCATGCTAGGGCTTATTTTTGGGGTAGGTCTTATTTTCCAAATTGACTTTTTTGGGAACTCTACGGCTTATATTTGAAGAAGGGCTTATTTTCAGGGTAGGTCTTATTTTCCAAATGGACCTTTTTTGGGAACTCAACTAGGGCTTATATTTGAAGTAGGGCTTATTTTCGGGGTAGGGCTTATTTTCCAAATTGACTTTTTTGAGAACTCTACGGCTTATATTTGAAGAAGGGCTTATTTTCGGGGTAGGTCTTATTTTCCAAATTGACTTTTTTGGGAACTCTACAGCTTATATTTGAAGTAGGGCTTATTTTTGAGGTAGGTCTTATTTTCCAAATTGACTTTTTTGGGAACTCTATGGCTTATATTTGAAGTAGGGCTTATTTTGGGGTAGGTTTTATATTCCAAATTGACTTTTTTTGGGAACTGTACGGCTTATATTTGAAGAAAGGCTTATTTTCGAGGTAGGCCTTATTTTTCCAAATTGACCTTTTTTGGGAACTCAACTGGGCATATATTTGAAGTAGGGCCTATTTTGGGGGTAGGTCTTATTTTCACAGTTGATTTTTGGGAACTCTAACTAACTAGAACTTATATTTGAAGTAGGGCTTATTTTCGGGGTAGGTCTTATTTTCCCAATTGACTTTTTGAGAACTCTAACTAGGGCTTATATTTAAAGTAGGGCTTATTTTTGGGATAGGTCTTATTTTTCCAAATTGACTTTTTTTGGAGACTCTTAATTAGGGCTTAAATTTGAACTAGGGCTTATTTTCGGGGTAGGTTTTATTTTTCCAAATTGACTTTTTTGGAAACTAGGCCTTATATTTAAAGTAGGTCTTGTATTTTGAGCATCCTCAAGAATCCTGCTAAGGCTTATTTTCGGGAAAACAGGGCAACTTAATTGATCCATCCCAAAAATGGAAGAGTAAGCTTCTGTTCCCATAATCCTATGTTTTGAAGGGCTGTCAAAAATGTACATATGTGGGGAAATTCTGGCCAACTTGGAGGAAAGGAAGAACATAAAAAGATATGAACGAACGTAGGGAAGGGAGGTGGAAAATATAGTTCTATTTAAGTCCTCTTGACTTCTCGGTTTCTCCTTCTCTGTCTCTGCTTTCGCAAAGGAACATAATATTCTGCCGATAACAGACACTCGAGTTTCGGAATTAAATTCATGAAAGGTAACCAAACAAGAAAGCCAGCCACAAACACAACGACATACTCTCAAAGCTCTGCCGTTAGTAAGAGGAATATAGAGTTTCGAAAAAAGAAATGCCAACTAAAGACATCAGGTTGGAAGACAGTTGGGGCTTCGTTTGAGCCTGGATTTCCCTTGCTAAAGAGGCCAAATTTTGTCATTTCAGATACTCCTTTATTCTCGGATTCTTGTAAAAATTATCTTTTATTTTAATGTTGCTAATGGACCGGGCTGTGGCGCAGCTAGTTAGTAGCCGGCTGCATTAAATCACTACTGACCGAGAGGTCATGAGTTCGAAGCCAGCTCAGGTTGGAGCGAGCTCCCGACTATTAATAGTCTAGCTTGCTATTGACCTATGCTAACGGCTCTGGCCCAGTTTACCTGTCCGAACGTATCTCCCACTACGAACCACCTAGGACCTTAAGATCGTCCGGGGAGGCCCTGCTCACTGTCCCCCCACCGTCGCAATCGTGGTTGGTGGGGACAAGAGACAGGGCCTTCTCTGTGGTGGTATCTCTCACTACAAACTACCCCATGAACCACAATCGCGGTTCATGGGGACAGGAGACAGGGCCTACTCTGTGGTGGTATCTCTCACTACAAACCATCTAGGACCTTAAGATCATCCAGGGAGGCCCTGCTCGCTGCCCCCCCCCCCCACCGTCACAATCGTGGTTGGTGGGTACAAGAGACAGGGCCTTCTCTGTGGTGGTATCTCTCACTACAAACCACCCCATGAACCACAATCGCGGTTCATGGGGACAAGAGACAGGGCCTTCTCTGTGGTGGTATCTCTCACTACAAACCACCTAAGACCTTAATATCATCCGAGGAGGCCCTGCTCAGTGTCCCCCCACCGTCACAATCGAGGTTGGTGGGTACAAGAGACAGGGCCTTCTCTGTGGTGGCCCCTCCTAAGTGAAATCAGATCCTTCCCTCCTGACCTTACGGAAAAAGGTGAAATCCTGGCTGTGGGATCAGGCCTTTGCGGACTAGACCGACATGATGGTAAAGCTATGGTTGAATGGACTCTGATGGACTCAAATGGATTGTGTGTAGGATAACGATTTAATTCTAGTGATTTTACTGTTTTTATGATTTTTTTAATGCTTTGTACTGTTTTTATCTAAGATGTATATTTATGCTTTTGTTGTCAGCCGCCCTGAGTCCCTCTCCTCTGCGGAGGTCGAGATAGGACGGGATAGAAATGTCCGAAATAAATAAATAAATATAAATAATTGTGTTATTAATAAGAAATATAAATACATGTATTTTTATTAATAACCATTAATATAATATGCAGCCTGAAAGACAGGTGCACCAATCAAGTGAGAAATTTAGGTACCGCTTTATGCGGGGAGGCTAATTTAATTTACGACGCCATAAAACTTTCCAGCAGCGTGCGTAAGAATGAGGAAGTACTCCATCAAAGCGGACAGTGAAGCAACAGCTCCCCCTTGTGGCCGGAACTGAGCATACCTCATGACGCCGGAATAGCTGGAATGTTAAATTGCCTCTGTGTCTGTCTATATATGTTGTATGTTTGCCATGTATATGTGCATTGTAATCCGCCCTGCGGGGTGAGAAGGCCGGAACCGAGCACGAGCCTCCAAGACGCCGAAGATGGGGGAATGCTTATAGACTTATTACTCCCGTATTTAGTTTTGAAGCCAATCGCATTGAATCCTGCGACATACACACGCCTCTTGAGCCAGGCTTCCAAGAGGCTCGGAAATGGCAACGCACAGGCATTTCCGTTGCGGCTACGGCCTCAGCGCCCACAATGTGCTTTCGTTGTGGTTCCGGCATCAGCACTCGCAATGCGCTTCTGTTTTAGTTTTTTTTTTTTAAGGCCAGGAAATAAAACAATATAGGAAAGAAGCAGCGTCGCGGAAAGCGGAAGAAAGAACGGCAACACACGACAACAGAGCAAAGAGGAAAACGCAGGCAATGATACTCACATCTCCCTCACACTGAGCCAAAATAAACACGGGGCGGGAAAAACGATAAAAAAGACAGAACAAAACGAAGAGGTTAGTGGACGGAAACGACGAGGACGGAGGTACGTCGTCGAGAGATTAGGAGCGGAAACGAGCGGAAAAGGCGGGAGAAGGAAAGAAAGAAGGAAGGAGCTTCGGTCGACTTAGGAAAAGGAGGGCGGATTCGGGGACGGGTCATTCGTGGGGGGCGCTTGGGTCGTCCCTATTTATTGACCCCCTTGGGTTTGGATCATTGAGGTCTGCCTGGGATTCGATCGGGTCAACAGGGTATTTATTCTCTGTTTTCGGCTTTATAATATCTCTTTTGGTTAGACTTCGTATCTCTTTTTATTTAGGTTTTTAATCAAATATATGTCATTTAATGTGGTTCGAGTGCCTTCTGAGAGAAAATATGGCATATTAATAATAACAAGAAGTGGGTAATAAACATATTATTACTACTACTAAGAAATGTAAACAAATACATTTATTATTGTTCTTAACAATAAATATAAATAATGTATTATTATTATTACTAATAAATATATTATTTTCACCAATAAATATAAATAATGCATTATTATTACTAATAAATATAAATATATTATTTTCACCAATAAATATAAATAATGTATTATGACTAATAATTACAAATAATTTATTATTACTACTAATAAATGGAAATAATGTATTATTACTAATAAATATAAATAATGTATTACTACTAATAAATAGAAATAATATGTTATTATTACTAATATAAATATATTGTTATTATTACTAATAGATATAAAACGTATTAGTACTAATAAATATAAATAATTGATTATTACTACTAATAAATAGAAATAATTTGTTATTATTACTAATATAAATAAATGTATTATTATTAGTAAAAGATATAATATGTATTAGTACTAATAAATATAAATAATTTATTATTATTACTAAACATAAATACATGTATTATTATTAATAATATAAATAAATGTAATGTTATTGTTACTAATGGATATAATGAATTCATTATTACAAATAAATGTAAAGAAATACATTATTACCAATAAATATAAATAAATGTATTATTAATAAATATAAATATATTATTACTAATAAATATAATTATTATTACCAATAATTATAATAAATGTATTATTACTATAGATAGATAGATAGATAGATAGATAGATAGATATAGATAGATAGATATATAATGTTATTAATACCAAATATACATAAATGTATTATTATTACTAATATGTATGTTTTAATAGAAATGTATCATTATTAATAAATATAAATAAATGTATTACTACTAATACTACTAATATAAATACATGTATTGTTATTACCAATAATTATAACAAATGTATTATTACTATATATATAGATAGATAGATAATGTTATTAATACCAAATATACATAAATGTGTTATTATTACTAATATGTATGTTTTAATAGCAAATATCAATACTTTATTATTACTAGTTATTAATAAATGTATTATTATTACCAATAAATACAAAGAAATGTTTTACTAATAAATATAATAAAATGTTAATACTAATAAATGTAAATACATGATGTAGTATTAGTACTAATAAATATAAATGCCTGAATTGTTATTACTAACAAATATAAATAAATGTATTATTAGTACTAATATAATGTAATTAATAACAATATAAATAAATAGAAAATGCACTATTAATACCAAATATAAATACATTTATTATTACTAATATATATATATAATGCTATTAATAACAAATGTAAATAGAAGTATTATTATTAATAAATATGTTATTACTAAAAATATGAATAATATATTATTACTAGATATAAATAAATGTAATATTACTGAAAAATATAAAGAAATGCATTGTTATTATTAATATATTATTAAATATAAATAATGTTATTACTAAAAATATGAATAATATATTATTACTAGATCTAAATAAATGTAATATTACTGTTAAATATAAAGAAATGCATTATTAATATAAATAATTGTTATTAATAAGAAATATAAATAAATGTATTTTATTAATAACGATTAATATAATATAATAAATATAGATCAATAGCCCTTCCAATGGGGATAGCAAGGCATGAAGGAGGAAAAAATGCTTTGTATACCACTCCATCTAGGTTTGGGGAGAAAAATAAATGATAGTGTTTGGTGGGTCGCCTCCGGTTTGTGCCAAACGCCCTGATCCTGGCTTTTTAGAGGGAGAAAGCAAAGTTGGGAGGACAATGGACAGGCCAAAGAGGGGTGGGGAGGGGACCGATGCGAACTCTGCACATGCGCAGGGGTCAAGGGACAAGTCTGAGGGCAAAGGGGGTCAGTTACCGCGGCCTTGGCTTCAGCGGCTTTGGCTTTCTTGAGCCGGGCCTTGCAGGCGTCCAGGTCCAAGCGCCGGTTCTGCAGGATCCGCCTCTCCTTCTGCAAAACAGAAGACATCAAGATCTGCAAATGGGTTGCAAAACATCTCCCGCTACACAAAACAACATAACTTTGGTTCCTGGGTTATCATTGGTTATATCATAAAACATGGGAAAACTTTACTAAACTGTCTTTGTGTGAGGGACATCATTCTGCAGCATATCTTGCTCTAGTTTTTCAAAGAGTATCTCATCGTCGAGTTTCAACCAATTCAGCGGTTTCTGGAAAACGAGAACTTTCAAAGACAGGTCCGTACAATTAAACAGGAAAAAGAAAGGATTCGGAAGCAATTTTGGGGGTTCCTGGGGTTCAAAGTGTTGCAGATTCAAGCCAGGGAAAGGAAATTGATTCAGATAGTGCTGAGCTCCATGGTCAGTCACCGGAGCCAGAAACAACATCATTAGATAAGGAGTTGAGTGAAGAGGAATGAAATAAAATGGAAAACACTCAAGGGAAAGCACCTGGCATTACGGAAATACGCAAAAGAAGGGATTCAGAAGTAATTTTGGGGGTTCCTGGGGTTCAAAGTGATGCAGATTAAGGCCAGGGAAAGGAAATCAACTCAGGCAGTGCTGAGCTCCAAGGTCAGTCACCGGAGCCAGAAACAACATCATTAGATAAGGAGTTGAGTGAAGAAGAATGAAATAAAGTGGAAAATTCTCAAAGGAAAGCACCTGGCATTATGGAGATAAGCAAAAGTTTCAAGTGATGCAGATTCAGGCCAAGGAAAGGAAATCGACTCAGGCAGTGCTGAGCTCCATGGTCAGTCACCGGAGCCAGAAACAACATCATTAGATAAGGAGCTGAGTGAAGAAGAATGAAATAAAATGGAAAATTATCAAAGGAAAGAACCTGGCATTACGGAGATAAGCAAAAGTTTCAAGTGATGCAGATTCAGGCCAGGGAAAGGAAATCGACTCAGGCAGTGCTGAGCTCCATGGTCAGTCACCGGAGCYAGAAACAACATCATTAGACAAGRAGTTGAGTGAAGCAGAAGGAAATAAAATGGAAAATTCTCAAGGGAAAGCACCTGGCATTACGKAAATACGYAAAAGAAGGGATTCGGAAGTAATTTTGGGGGTTCCTGGGGTTCAAAGTGATGCAGATTCGGGCCAGGGAAAGGAAATAGACTCAGGCTGTGCTGAGCTCCAAGGTCAGTCACTGGAGCCAGAAACAATATAATTAAATAAGGAGTTGAGTGAAGAAGAAGGAAATAAAATGGAAAATTCTCAAGGGAAAGCACCTGGCATTATGGAGATAAGAAAACGTTTCAAGTGATGCAGATTCAGGCCAGGGAAAGGAAATCGACTCAGGCAGTGCTGAGCTCCAAGGTCAGTCACCAGAGCCAGAAACAACGTCATTAGACAAGGAGTTAAGTGAAGAAAGAGGAAATAAAATGGAAAATTCTCAAGGGAAAGCACCTGACATTATGGAGATAAGCAAAAGTTTCAAGTGATGCAGATTCAGGCCAAGGAAAGGAAATCGACTCAGGCAGTGCTGAGCTCCATGGTCAGTCACCGGAGCCAGAAACAACATCATTAGATAAGGAGCTGAGTGAAGAAGAATGAAATAAAATGGAAAATTATCAAAGGAAAGAACCTGGCATTACGGAGATAAGCAAAAGTTTTCATTTGCAGATCAGAGCAGAGTATCAGCTCTGTAGGTCCAAGAGATTACATGGGAAAGAAATAGAGAAAATTAATGGGAAACGACATGACTTCATGACTGTTTATTAACAGCCAGCGTTTACCTTAAGGTCAGTTCAGGCTTTTGAATTAGAATCTAGGCCTGAGTCTTTGGTCAGGGCAAGTCTTGGATTCAAGTATCTTGTAAGTTTTCTATATTCTTGTTTTATGATTCTTGCTGAAGTTTTTCTAAGTATACCTTTTGCTTATGGATTTATGCTGTACTTGTGATTTTCGGCCATTCCTGGATGTCCTGTATCACCTCTTCTATGTATTAATCTGTTATGTGTACAGATTGTTATTATTGCTGCTGCAAAGCAAGGTAAATGAGCTTTTGCTCCAATAATAATAATAATAATAATAATAATAATAATAATAATATATATTAATAAGCAAGGTAACTGAGTTTTTGCTCCAATAATAATAATAATAATAATATTAATAATAATATGTATTAATAATAATATTGTTATATATCAATATTAATATCTTAATTATATATTCATGAAAATAATAATAATAATAATAATAATGGTGACCAAGGATACCATTTGCTAAATTACAGCAGCAAGAACGAAAGGATAGTAAACGGAGAGGATGTTTGGAGAGAGTGCTGCTGAACTGAATTGGATCCTAAAGGACAAACTGACGGGAGGCTTTCTGCCAAAATTAGGAATTATTGAGCCCCGAGGCAAGCGTGTCTCGAATATCAATACGGTTGGCAGAGAAAAGCATCTCTTTGCTTTCCCTTTTTGGAGTAATCCTATATAAAGGTTGAATATCCCTCTTCTGAAATGCTTGAGATGAAAAGGATCGTGGGGTGTGTTTGTTTTCCATATTTTGGAATATTTCTATATTCATAATAGACGGGATCCGAGTCTAAACGGGTTTTATTGGAAACGCTCCGCTCAATAATAATACGTTCCCGATACATAATGCATGAGCGTATCTTCCAAATATATCTTAATAGTTAAGGCGTTGTTTTGAGTGCTTTCTAAGGCGGGAAGAAGTGCTTTGATGGATCAAACGATGGCAGAGATTGTGGGCCAAACGGGGAAAGGTTGCTCGGAGAGGATCAAAGATATAGATTGCCAACCGGCCCATTTCGGGAATGGGTTTCCATTGCGAGAGAGATTTTTTTCCCGAAAGGAAAGGTCTCGGTGGACGATTTTAGGAGTGTTTCGGGTTTTCGAATTTCCAGAGACAGGAATCATAAGTTGTATTATGATGATAATGGTTTCTACGTACCGAAATGGTCCTCCAGTCGCCCTCCAGGAAGTTACGGAGCGGGTTCAGGAAGTTGATGGAAGAGGAGTGGATGAAGTCCCGCTCGGCGCCTCCCAAGCGCCGCTCCGTTTCGCCCACTTTGATGAGGGTTTTCCCTACAGGAGGAACGACCACGATGGATAGGCCTCCCGTTCAAAGGGACTTCCATTCAAACCCTCTCCCCGTCTTCTAGAACGCAACGGGACACCCATCCAACCTCTATCTCAAGAGGCAACGGGACACCCACCCAACTCTATCTGATCATCCCAAGAAGCAACGGGACATCCATCCGACCCTATTTGGCCATCCCAACAAACAACAGGACATCCATCTGGCTCTGTGTGACCATCCCAAGAGGCAACGAGACACCTATCCAACCCTATTTGACCCTCCCAACAAAAAACGGGACACCCACCAGACCGAGTTTGCCTGCATCTCAACAGGCAATGGGACACCCATCTGACCCTTTGTGACTCCATCCCAAGAGGCAACTGGACACCCATCCGACCCTATGTGACTATCCCAACAGACAATGTGACACACATCCAACATTATTTGACTATCCCAACAGGCAAAGTGACACCCATCCGACGCTATTTGACCATCCCAACAGACAACGGGACACCCACCAGACCTAGTCTGCCTCCATCTCAAGAGGCAATGGGACACCCATCTGACCCTATGTGACTATCCCAACAGACAATGTGACACACATCCAACACTATTTGACAATCTCAAGAGGATACGGGACACCCATCCGACCCTATTCCACTCCATCCCAAGAGGCAATGGGAGACCCATCCGAACCTATTCCACTCCATCCCAAGAGGCAGAGGAACACTCATCCAACCCTGTTAGACTCCATCCCAACAAGCAATGGGACAGCCACCTGACCCTATTTTATCATCCCAACAGGCAATGGGACATCAATTTGACCCTATGTGACCATCCCAAGAGGCAATGGGACACCTACCCAACCCTATTTGACCATCTCAAGAGGCAACGAGACACCCATCCAACCCTATTTGACCATCCCAACAAACAACAGGACACCCACCAGACCTAGTTTGCTTCCATCCCAAGAGGCAATGGGACATCCATCTGACCCTATGTGACACCATTCCAAGAGGCAATGGGACACTCATCCAGCCTTGTTAGACTCCATCCCAACAAGCAATGGGACACCCACCTGACCCTATTTGACCATCCCAACAGGCAATGGGACACCCACCCGACGCTATGTGACCATCCCAAGACGCTATGGGACCTTATTAGACCATCCCAAGAGGCTACGGGACCCATCTAACCCCATTTTGCTCCATCCCAAGAGGCAATGGGACACCCACCCAACCCTATTTGACCATCTCAAGAGGCAACGGGACACCCACCCAATTCTTTTTGACCATCCCAAGAGACTACAGGACCCATCCGACCCCATGTTACTCAATCCCAAGAGGCAACAGGACACCCAACCAATTCTATAAGATGCAACAGGACACCCACCCAACCCTATTCGACCATCCCAACAAGCAGTGTGACACCCATCTGACCCTATTCGACTCCATCTCTAGATGCAATGGGACACCCATCCAACTCTATGTGACTCCATCCCAACAGGCAACGGGACCCTCGTCCGACCCTATCTGACCATCCCAAGAGGCAATGGGACACCCATATGACCCTATTTGCCTCGATCTCAAGAGGAAGCAACCCGTATTCAACTCACCATAGGGGGACGTTGGTCCGAAGTCATTGGCAGCCTCGGTCATGTACTGGGCCAGGAGCTCGCCATTGGTGACCCGAGAGGGGACCTTCCGGTCTAGCTTTTCGTAGAGGAACTCCTCGACTCGGGCGCCTGGAGGCCAAAAGAGGACAAGATGATTCAACAACTGAATTCCTACGGATCCACACTAATCTAACCTGCTGACCCGTAATACTCAATCTATAGGTAGGCTCTTGGGTGTCCCCCAAGAGAAGCCGGTCAGGGGCAAAAGGGGGGCTTACTTGGGTTCGGCTGCAGCAGGACCTCCGTCTGGCGCAGGATCTTCTCCGTCCAGTTCTTGGTGTTGTCCGCGCGCACCAGGAGGTTCTCAAAATGCGCATCTAATTCGGTCTTCTCCGCCTGGCCCAGCTTCTCTTCCGTGAACTGCGGAGGAGAAGAACATAACAATAACAATAACTCACTAGAGTGGTACCTATTGATCTATTCACATTTGCATGTTTTCGAACTGCTAGGTTGGCAGAAGCTGGGGATGACAGCAGGAGTTCATGCCACTTCCCGGATTCGAACCTGTGACCTTTCGGTCAACAAGCTCAGCAGCTCAGTGGTTTAACCCACTGCGCCATTATAATAATAACATCAATAACAATAATCAATATAATAATTAATAATATTATATTATATATATATTATAATTAATATAGTATTAATTATATTATCAGCAGAGTGATCTTGAGTGATCCCAAGATCACTCTGCTGATAATATAATTAATACTATATTAATTATAATATATATATAATATTATATTATATTATGCTGTGGACTCACCTTATTATGTTTCAAATAATAATAATAATAATAATAATAATAATAATAATTGATGCCTTCCTGTCTATGAAGCCTACCCCTTCCTAATAAGAGAACTAAACGCACTCAAGACGCATCCTCTTGCTGGATTCGAGCCTGCGACCTTTTGGTCAGCAAGTTTAGCAGCTCAGTGGTTTAACCCACTGCGCCATTATAATAATAATAATATTAATAATATATAATATATTATATTTATAATATATAATATAATTAATATAATATTAATTATATTATCAGCAGAGTGATCTTGTTTGCTGTGGACTCACCTTGTTGTGTTTCTAGTAATAATAATAATAATAATAATAATAATAATAATAATAATAATATACATCACACAGTCCTAGATGCTTGGGAAGTGTTCGACTTATGATTTTGTGATACGAAATCCAGCATAGAGATCTTGTATGCTGTGACATATTGTGCTTTTGTGTCAATAATAATAATAATAGTAGTAGTAGTAGTAGTAGTAAAATAATAATAATATTAAATGACATCTTGTTTGCTGTGGACTCACCTTGTTGTGTTTCAAATAATAATAATAATAATAATAATAATAATAATAATAATAATAATAATAATAAATGATGTCTTCCTCTCCATGAGGCCTGCCCCTTCCTAATAAGAGAACTAAACGCACTCAAGACGCATCCTCTCACTGGATTCGAACCTTTGACCTTTTGGTCAGCATGTTCAGCAGCTCAGCGGTTTAACCCACTGCGCCATTATAATAATAATATTAATAATATAATAATAATATACTGGTCAAAGGACATTTAATCAACTACCAAGCTTGCAAACTTTGTGTTTTGTTTGTTTGTTTGTTAAAAAATGCAATACAACTGGTTTGCTCTTGACACAATAAATAAATAATATATTATAATGTAATTAATAATATAATATTAATAATATTATCAGCAGAAGACTCATCTTGTTGTGTTTCAAATAATAATAATATCAGCAGAGTGATCTTGTTTACTGTGGACTCATCTTGTTGTGTTTTAAATAATAATAATAATAATAATAATTAATAATAATATAATATACTGGTCAAAGGACATTTAATCAACTACCAAGCTTACAAACTTTGTTTTGTTTTGTTTGTTTGTTAAGAAATACAATACAACGGTTTGGTTTGCTCCTGACACGATATATATATAATGTAATTAATAATATAATATTAATAATATTAGAGTGATCTTGTTTGCTGTGGACTCATCTTGTTGTGTTTCAAATAATAATAATAATAATTATAATATAATAATAATAATAATAATAATAATAATAATAATAATAATAATAATACTATACTGGTCAGAAGACATTTAATCAACTACTAAGCTTGCAAACTTTGTGTTTTGTTTGTTTGTTTGTTAAAAAATGCAATACAACTGTTTGGTTTGCTCCTGACATAAATAAATAATATAATATAATATAATGCAATGTAATGTAATGTAATAAATAATATAATATTAATATTATCAGCAGAGTGATCTTGTCTGCTGTGGACTCATCTTGTTGTGTTTCAAATAATATAATAATAATAATAATAATAATAATAATAATAATAATAATAATATACTGGTCAAAGGACATTTAATCAACTACCAAGCTTGCAAACTTTGTGTTTTGTTTGTTTGTTTGTTTGTTAAAAAACCACAATACAACTGTTTGTTTTGCTCCTGACATGACATTATATATATATATATATATATATATATATATATATATATATATATATATATATATATATATATAGAGTAATTAATAACATATTAATAATATTAGAGCGATCTTGTTTGCTGTGGACTCATCTTGTTGTGTTTTAAATAATAATAATAATAATATTATCAGCAGAGTGATCTTGTTTGCTGTGGACTCATCTTGTTGTGTTTCAGATAATAATAACGATAATAATAATAATAATAATAATAATAATAATAATAATAATAATTGATGTCTTCCTCTCCATGAGGCCTGCCCCTTCCTAATAAGAGAACTAAACGCACTGGAGACGCATCCTCTCGCCTGGCTTCCAGCTTTGCTTCCAACCGAAAAGGGAGGCCAGCTTGCCATGAATAATGCAGCCCTCCCGAGACCGTCCGGCGACTCAAGAAATCAATATTTCATGCCAGGATTCGGTTCCCTCCTCGAAACGCGGGATTGATGCCAGCACGGAGGGAGAAGAGAGCGAGAGAGGGAGAGAAGAGAGAGTGCCTGGCCCAATGCAACCAGCTGAGCAGCACTGCAGCCTGGCTCCGGATGAGTGAGCATCGGGCGCAGAAAAAGGGGCCTCCGCACTGGCACATTAATGCAGTTTGGCCCCACTTCTGCCTCCCCCGGTGTCACCCACTTGCAATGTTTCCCTGTGAGATTTTTTTTTTTTTTTGCATCATCCTCCTTCTCATCATCATCATGGGACTGCAGCTAAACAATGCACGGGGGCGGATGGAGCAAGCAGATGGTGCTCAGGAAGAGTAATAACAATAATAATAATAATAATAATAATGCATTATATTTGAGTCTCCTTTCAGAAAGGAAAGCAGGATGCAAAACAGTATCATAGTCTTGTAATAAGAATAATATAACATGGCAGAGAATATATTCCATGCATAGGAGAGCTGGAATACAAGTGACACGTATGCGAGAGAATACACATATAAGAAAGAATATACATTATGAGAGTGAGGGAGGTAGACAATATCTCTGCGCTTGTGTGAGATGGAATATATATTGTGTATGTGTGTGAGAGAGGAAAAATGCACATACATTATATATGTGTATGTGCACTTTTATATATCATATTATATATCATATAATGCACATAACCATATTATATATCATATAATGCACATAACCTTATTATATACAATATAATGCACATAACCATATTATATAAAATATAATGCACATAACAACATATAATATGGTGATGTGCATTTTATGATATATAATATGGTTATGTGCATTATATGATATATAATATCATATATATTATAACCATAATACATATCATATAATGCACATAACCATATTATATAAAATATAATGCACATAACCATATTATATATCATAAAATGCACATAAGTTTTCTAAGATCTACAGAGACACTCACTGGAACACCTCAGCAAGCGAGAGTCCAAAAGTGGCAGGCTCAAACCCAGAACCTTAACCAATGGCTGATACCCAATGAGAGACTCCCCCCTGGGCACACAGAGGACTGGGCGACCTGGAAGGCACTGAACAGACTGTGCTCTGGCCCCACGAGATGCAGAGCCAACCTTCAGAAATGGGGCTACAAAGTGGAATCCTCGACATGCGAGTGTGGAGAAGAGCAAACCACTGACCACCTGCTGCAATGCAACCTGAGCCCTGCCACATGCACAAGGGAGGACCTTCTTGCAGCAACACCAGAGGCACTCCAAGGGGCCAGATACTGGTCAAAGGACATTTAATCAACTCTCATACTCACAAATTTTGTAATCTGCTTGTTTGCTTTGTTCTGTTAAAAATGTAATATAATTTGACAGGTTGTTCTGACACGACAAACAAACAAACCATATAATGCACATAACTGAAAGGTATATATGTGTCTGTGTCTAATATACAAGTATATATCTATACCTACAATATATACATTGTGCATGTGGAAAAATATATATAATATATATGGAATATTATATATATAATGTGTACATATGTGAGAGAATATACACTGTGCTTGAGCATGGGAGAATGAATATATATTTGTGCATGGGAGAAGGAATATACTTTGGATGTACATCGGAATATGCATTATGTTTACGTGAGAATATACTATAAGTCCACATGGGAATATACATTATTTCCACATGAGAATATATATTATGTTTACATGAGAATATACATTACGTGTTCATGACCAGTGCTAATCTACATGAGAATAGACAATGTGTATACATTAGAATATAAGTACACAGGAATATACATTATGTCTATCCAAGAATATACACTGTATTTACTTTAGAACATATGTTATTACATGAGAATATACATTATGTGTATACAAGAATATACATGTATGTCTACCCGAAAATATACATGTATACCCACATGTGAATATACATTATGTGTACATGGGAATATGCATTGCAGGAGAATATGCATTAAGTGTACATGAAAATATACATTATGTGTACATGTGAATATATATACATAGTTTACATGAGAATATACATGTACATCTACATGAGCATATATATTGTGTGAACATAAGAATATACATGTTTACATGAGAATACACATGTGTACACAATAATATACATTATGTGTACACAGGAATATACATTATACGTTATGTATATGTATACATTAGATGTGCAAGAATAAACAGGTATGCAAGAGAATATAGATGTTGTATATGTGCAAGAGAGAATACACTATGTGTATATAAGAATATACATTATATATGTGTGAGAGAATCTATGTCATGATTGCGCATGAGATCCAGAGAAGTTCATTGTAGGTGAAAACATTACACACACACACACACCTATGCCTTATAGATACACATAAATATGTACAGATCTATACCTAAAATAGATACATATTTATCATATAATGCACATACCCATACCTAAAAGATATATATGTGTGTATCTAATATAAAAATACCTACAATATATACACACATATATAATGTATTATGTACTTATCTATACCTTATATATGTAATACATATGTACATATCTATATCTAAAATGTACACATACATATATGTGTATATGTACCATATATGCATATGTATATGTGTGTATATAATTGTACACATCTATTTCTGAAATATGTGTATATACCTGTATCTAATATACAAATACATATCTATATTTACAATACACACACATATAATAATATGTACGTATCTATACCTAATATATATATATATGTATACACACATATACATATGTACATATCTACATCTAAAATATACACATCTATAATATGTACATATCTATACCACATATATATTGTGTATGTATGTATGTGTGTGTGTATATATATATATATATATACACACACATACACACAATGTACATATCTATATTTAAAATATAATATGTACATATCTGTACCGCATATATATATTGTGTGTATATATATATATATATATATATACACACACATACACACAATGTACATATCTATATTTAAAATATAATATGTACATATCTGTACCGCATATATATATTGTGTGTGTATATATATATATATATATACACATACATACACACAATGTACATATCTATATTTAAAATATACACACATATATATACATGTATATTTTCGTGTAGACATATATATATATTCTTGTGTGCATATGTTAATATACACATATATAATAACATATGTACACAAAAATTGTGTTTTTTAAAATCTGTTTGTTTTGTTCTGTTGGAAACGTAATACAATGTTCTGGTTGCGGATGACACGATAAATAAATAACAAGAATATATACGTATGTCTACACGAAAATATACATGTGAACATACATTATATGTATATGAAAATATGTCTATAAAATATTTACATTTATAGATTAGATCTAGATGTATATTCCCATCTCAAATATGTATGCAAACCATACAGAGTGCTAACAGTTGTTGCAATGTGGAAGCCCACTGGAAATATTTGCCTAGAGACCTATAGATAGTATGTACAGATCTGAAAGATGTGTGTTAGCAGATGTTGCAACCTGGAAGCCCTTTGGATGCCCAGGAAAGGGAGGGATGGATGGGTGTTTCCCCCCTAGAGGGGCTTCCAAGGGGGGTGATAGGCATGCAATAGGGATCTGCACCTAGGTGTGTGTTGACAGATGTTGCAACCTGGCTGCACCCCCCCTCCCTCCCTCCCTCCCTCCCCTCTTGGCTCACCTGGACAGCTCTGGTGAAGAAGACCCCTGCGTCGGAGGCCAGCTTCTTCATGTTGAAGTCCATCCTTCCAGCAAGGAGAGCCCCCTCCCCGAAAAGGAGGAGCCAGCCAGTGGGAGCCCCCTCCTCTTCCTCCTCCTGCCTCCCTCCCTCTCTGCACCTGCGCAGGTTGCCTGGCCCAATGCTTCCCTATGGGGATTGCTCTCTGCTGCCACCTGGCGGCGCCGCCCTTCCCTGCAAGGCACTCCGCCCACGCCAAGAGGAGCCGCCAGCAGTGACGTCACCCGCCGGGCATTCCTATGGGAGCGCCTCCCCGCGCCCTCTAGCGGCAAGACTGGGTTGTTTCTCCAAGCCCGTGACGTCACTGAGGGGGCGTGGCCACACCCAAACATGGCTGCTGGTAGGAAAGGTGCCAAAATTTTTAAAAGGGGTCACAAATTGCAGAGATTGCATCCAAAGGAATAGTTTTGGACTCAATGCTATAAGGCCTTTCATAATAATAATAATAATATTAATAAACAATTAATAAATAATAATAATAATAAATAAGGAATAGTTTTATAAGGTCTTTCATAATAATAATAATAATAAACAATTAATAAATAATAATAATAATAAATAAGGAATAGTTTTATAAGGTCTTTCATAGTAATAATAATTAATAATGAATGCTCTGGTTGCATCATCATCTTGTCTTGACTAATAATATAATATAGTATATTGTGTATACATATAATATGTATAATGTTATAATGTAGTACAATGTAATACTAGTAATAATAATTCAATATTATTATAATTATATATTTACATTACATGTAATATTACTAATAAATAAGCAAATTTAAAAATTAATTAATTAATAATCATAATAACACTACATTATGAGTGTTATTATTATTAATAATAAATAATTATTTTATTATAATTATAATTAATTTCATAATAATGCTCTGGTTGCATCATCATCATCATTAATTAGTAATCATAATCATATAATCGTAATCATAATAACACTACATTATGAGTGTTATTAATTATTATTATTATTTTATAATAATTATAATTATAGTTAATTTCATAATAATAATGCTCTGGTTGCCTCTTCATCATTAATTAATAATCATAATCATAATAATACATTATGAGATAGTTTAATAAGGCCTTTCATAATATTAATGCTTTGGTTGCCTCTTCATCATTAATTAATTAATAATCATCATAATCATAATAACAATACAATATGAGATAGTTTTAAAAGGCCTTTCATAATAATAATAATGATGATGATTAATTTGATTTGCTAGCCTGCTCTGGTTGCATCATCATCATTAATTAATTCATCATCATCATCATCATCATCATCATCATAATGTATTATGAGATAGTTTTAAAAGGCCTTTCATAATAATAATAATAAATAATGCTCTGGTTGCATCTTCATCATTAATTAATTAATAATCATCATAATCATAATAATACATTATGAGAGTTTTAAAAGCCTTTCATAATAATAATAATAATAGTAATTATTGATTAATTTCATTTGTTAGTCTGCTCTGGTTGCATCATCATCATTAATTCATCATCATCATAACAATACATTATGAGATAGTTTTATAAGACCTTTCATTATAATAATAATTAATAATTAATTTCCAATAAATAATAATAATAATACATTATGGGATAGTTTTATAAGGTCTTTCATCATAATAATAATTAATAGTTAATTTCCAATAAATAATAATAATAATAATACATCATTATGAGATAGTTTTATAAGACCTTTCATCATAATAATAATAATTAATAATTAATTTCCAATAAATAATAATAATAATACATCATTATGAGATAGTTTTATAAGACCTTTCATCATCATAATAATAATTAATAATTAATTTCCAATAAATAATAATAATACATCATTATGAGATAGTTTTATAAGACCTTTCATCATCATAATAATAATTCATAGTTAATTTCCAATAAATAATAATAATAATGCATCATTATGAGATAGTTTTATAAGACCTTTCATCATCATAATAATAATTAATAATTAATTTCCAATAAATAATAATAATAATACATCATTATGAGATAGTTTTATAAGACCTTTCATCATCATCATCATAATTAATAATTAATTTCCAATAAATAATAATAATAATACATTATGGGATAGCTTTATAAGGCCTTTCATCATAATAATTAATAATTAATAATTAATTTGATTTATTAGCCTGCTCTGGTTGCATCATCATCATTAATTTAATAATAATAACCATAATAATACATTACTAATAATAAATATTAATAAACTATTGGTTGGCCTCATCATTAATTTAATTGTTAATAAATGCATATTAATGAATTATTAATAAAAATAATAAAGTAGTGGTTAGCCTGCTTTCGTTGCATCATTATTAATTTGAATTAATTGATTGATAATACATAAATAATAAATTATTGGTTAGCCTCATTGTTATTTATTTAATAAATAATAAAAATTAATTAAAACACATAAATAATAAACTATGGTTTAGCCTTATTGTTATTAATTTAATAAATAATAAATATTAATTAATAATACATAAATAATAAACTATTGGTTTGCCTCATTGTTATTAATTTAATTAATAATAAATATTAATAATGCATAATTAATAAACTATTGGTTAGACTCATTGTTATTAATTTAATAAATAATAAATATTAATAATACATAAATAATAAACTGTTTGTTAGCCTCCTTGTTATTAATTAACATTTATTATTTATTAAATTAATAATACATAAATAATAAACTATTGGTTAGCCTTATTATTAATTTAATTAATAAGAAATACTAATCAATTAATGTATAAATAATAAACTATTGGTTAGCCTCAATATTATTAATTTAATAAATAATGCATATTAACAATGCATAAAAAATAAACTATTGGTTAGCCTCATTGTTATTAATTTAATTAATAATGAATATTAATTAATAATGCATAAATAATAAACTATTGGTTAGCTTCATTATTATTAATTTAATAAATATTAATTAATTAATTTGCTTTAAACTCCAATTTGTGTGTTGTTTTCCTTCCTAGGTCCCACCGAGGAGCGTTGCCCCTTTAAGGATGGCCGCGCCCCCTTTCCTCCAACTCTAAGACCACGCCCCCTTCCTCCCCATTCGCTTCTCGGTCGAGCTGGGGGTCTCTGCGGCCAATCGGCGCCCCCGGAGAGCGGGTCCCGCGCTCTGATTGGCCGTCTCCACCTGCCATTCCGAGGTCTCTCCACGCAGCCCCGCCTCCTGGTGGTTAGTAGTGGTTAGGTTGCGACGCCGGGAAGGAGAGGCTGCCCTTCCGAGAGCCATGGCGCGCAGTTGCACGGTGAGCTGGGCGGCCTCCCCCTCTTGCGGGAGAATGGTTTGGCCCGTTCCCTCCAGGGCCGCAGGGGGGCGGGCTCGCCCATTTGGAAAGAGGGGGGAAAGGCTGCCTTCCTCGTTGCCTGTCCTGCTCTCCCTGAGCCTTCCCTGCACTCATGAACCCCCCCCCCCCATTGGCCTGCCCTGCCCTGAGGTGTGTATGGATGCCTGTGTGTCTAGGGGGCAGGGCAAGGGAGAATGAATATGTGCATTGCCTATAGGTGTGTCTATAGATTGGACAGGGCAGGTGTGTTTAGTATATATAGGTATATGTATTCTGGGCAAGGCAGGTGTGTATGTGTATAGTGTATATGTATGTATTCTGGACAAGGCAGGTGTGTATGTGTATAATGTATATGTATATTGGGCAGTGCAGGTGTGTATGTGTATAGTGTATATGTATATATGTATAAGTATACTGTACAATGCAGGTGTGTTATGTGTATAGTATATATGCATACAATGTGTGTGTGTATATATATATAGGACAGTGCAGGTGTGTGTGCATTATGTGTATGGTATATATGTATGTGTATATATATATACGCACACACATACATACACACACTTACTGGACAGGGCAGGTGTGTATGTATATGTGTATAGTGTATATGTATAAGTATACTGGACAATGCAGGTGCGTTATGTGTATAGTATATATGCATACAATGTGTGTGTGTATGTATATATATAGGACGGTGCAGGTGTGTGTGCATTATGTGTATGCTATATATGTATGTGTATGCATGTATATGTGTGTGTGTATATATACGCACAAACATACACACACACATACATACACACATACTGGACAGGGCAAGTGTGTATGTATATGTGTATAGTGTATATGTATATTGGACAATGCAGGTGTGTATATATATGTGTATATTATATATGTATGTGTATATATAGGACAGGGTAGGTGTGTATGTATATGTGTATAGTGTATATGTATCTTGGACAGTGCAGGTGTGTATATATATGTGTGTATATTATATATGTATGTGTATATATAGGACAGGGTAGGTGTGTATGTATATGTGTATAGTATATGTGTGTGTGTATAGAGAGGGAGAGAGAGGACAATGCAGGTGTGTATGCATATGTGTTTATATATATATATATATATATATATATATATATATATATATATAGGACAGGGCAGATGTATATGTATATGTGTATAATATATGTTTCTTAATTTTTGCCTATGTATGGAGACTTTGGGTTCAGCCTGAATATAATATACAAATGTACAACACATACATATATACTATACACATATACATACACACCTGCCCTATAGGACAGGGTAGGTGTGCATGTATATGCGTATAGTTTATATATATGTGTATATATAGGACAGGGTAGGTGTGTATGTATATATGTATAGTGTATATGTATATTGGACAGTGCAGGTGTGTATGTATATGTGTATAGTATATATATGTGTGTGTATATATATATAGGACAGGGAAGGTGTGTATGGATATGTGTATTGTGTATATGTATATTGGACAGTGAAGGTGTGTATGGATATGTGTGCAGTATATATGTATGTATATATAGGACATGGTATATATATGTGTGTGTGTATGTATATATACACATACATACATACATAGCAGTGCAGGTGTGTATGTATATGTTTATAGTATATATGTGTGTGTATATATAGGACAGGGTAGGTGTGTATGTATATGTGTATTGTATATATATGTGTGTGCATATATAGGACAGGATAGGTGTGTATGTATATGTGTATAGTATATATATGTGTGTGTGTATATAGGACAGGGTGGGTGTGTATGTATATAGTATATATTTGTGTGTGTGTGTGTATGGGACAGGGTAGGTGTGTATGTATATGTGTATAGTATATATATATTTGTGTGTGTGTATAGGACAGGGCATGTGTGTATGTATATGTGTATAGTATATGTGTGTGTGTGTATAGGACAGGGCAGGTGTATATGTATATATGTATAGTATATATGGATGTATGTGTGTGCAAAATATACAAAAATTAAATAGAATTTAAAAGAGCCATCTTTGAGTGTTTTAAACCCTCTTTGCATTATTTTCTCTTCTTTCCGAAGCTGGAAACGGCTCAGACCTTGACGTTCCCGGCCTTGAAGGGAACACAATATCCTGGGGTGTTGTGTCGTTGCCTCTCTCTCTCTAGAGATACCATTTACGGGCCCACAAAGCTGCCTTTGTGCCTTATCACTATGTAACACAATGATTTTTGTTCCTGGGTCATCAGTGTCGTATTCTAATTGCGTCCATCATTTAAAAAAGACATGGGAAAAGTGTATGAAACTGCGCAAACTTCTGCTCTTGCACATTTTGCTCTCGTCTGGCCATGAATCTCTCTGAAGAGTCTCGACCCAATTTAACGTTGTGGCAGCCACAAAAACAAAGTTTCTGGATCAGAACGACAACTTTCAAAGTAAGGACCGCACAACGAAACAGGAAATAACACTTTCGAACCAGGAACAGAACGTTTCCCAAATTGTGTTACATAGTGTAATAATAATAATAATAATAATAATAATAATGCTGTGCAAGTAATGGGAGGGTATAGACCTGGGAACAGAAGGTGAGATAGACATTTGTAGCATCTTTTAAAGATAATAATAATAATAATAATAATAGAAGACAATAAGAGGACCAATACTACTACTACTACTACTACTACTACTACTAATAATAATAATAATAATAATAGATAATAAAATAATAATATATGAAGAGGAATCATTATCATTATTATTGACAGTGTTGTATTTTTATAATGCTATGTCAGTAATTAGAGATTATTATTATTATTGACAGAGATGTATTTCTATAGTGCTGTATCAGTAATTAGAGGATATTATTATTTTACTATTATCATTGACAGTCATGTATTTTTATAACACTGTGTCCGTAATTAGAGGCTTATTATTATTATTATTATTATTATTATTATTATTATTATTGACAGGGATGTATTTTTATAATGCTGTGTCCGTAATTAGAGGTTGTTGTTATTATTATTATTATTATTATTATTATTATTGACAGGAATGTACAGTATATTCTGGCGTATAAGACTACTTTTTAACCCAAGAAAATCTTCTCAAAAGTCAGGGGTCGTCTTATACGTGGGTGTAGTCTTATGCATGAGAGTTGTCTTAACTCTATATTTTAACTGGAAAAGTTGGGGGTAGTCTTATATGCCCAGTCGTCTTATATGCCGGAATATACGGTATTTTTATAATGCTGTGTGCATTATAATTAGAGGTTATATTATTATTATTATTATTATTATTATTATTATTATTATTATTGACAGGGATGTATTTTTATAATGCTGTGTGCGTAATTAGAGGTTATATTATTATTATTATTATTATTATTATTATTATTATTGACAGGGATGTATTTTTATAGTGCTGTGTAAGTAATGAGAAATTATTATTATTATTATTATTGACAGGGATGCATTTTTATAATGCTGTGTAAGTAATGAGAAGATATTATTATTATTATTATTATTATTATTATTATTATTATTATTCGCAGTGATGTATTTTTATAATGCTGTGTCCTAATTAAAGATTATGTTGTCGTTATTATTATTATTATTATTATTATTATTATTATTCACAATGACGTATTTGTATAATGCTATGTAAGTAATGGGATGGTAAAGACCTGGAACAGAAGGTGAGATGAAGACGTATAGTTTTTTTTCAACTTTTAAATAATAATAATAATAATAATAATATAAAAAGAAGAGTAAAAGGAGCAATAATAATAATTGATAAAATGATAATAATATAAGAATTATTATTATTATTATTATTCTTAACAGAGATAAAGACCTGTAGTATGTTTTCAAGGTTTTAATAATAGTAATAATAATAATAATAATTTATTTATTTATTTATTTGCTTCATTTCTATACCGCATTTTTCAGCCTGATAAGGCAACTCAATTATTATTATTATTACCTCTCTCTCTCTCTCTCTTTCTGTCTGTGCTGCAGGGAGGCGTCCTCCTTGTGCCGGAGAAGTGCTTCTGGGCGCAGGGGGGGCTCCGGTGGTGAGTTGGGCCTGGCTCCGGAAGTGGCCCCCTTGGAGCAGGATGGCCTTCCAGAGGCCGGAGGGGGTTCCCCTGCTGCAGGCGCTGGCCATGACCGTGGCCGAGATCCCTGTCTTCCTCTACTCCACCTTCGGACAGGTACACGGAAGTGGGGGGGGGGGGCACACACACCGCATTTCCCTCCCCGAGTCTCATGCACTTTGACACTGTCTTTGACATGATCTCCGCCAAAGAATGCTGGCAACACCACCAAACTACACATCCCAGGATCCCATTGCTATTAAATGAGAAGTGATGTCCTGAAAATAGAAGCTCCAGGTGCAACTTCCCCTATGGCTTAGGACCATATGGCACAAATCCAGTGTGCTCCCTCATTTCAGCCATAATAATGGCGTTGGAACATTGTCAGAATAATAAAATAATAATAATGAAAATTATTATTGATGACGCTAGAACATTTGCACATTATTAGATTAATAATAATAATAATAATAATAATAATAATAATAATAATAATAATAATAATAATTCTCGCCCGCAGGCGGCCTTTTCGCAGCTACGCCTGAGTCCCGGCCTCCGGAAGGTGCTCTTTGCCACGGCCCTGGGGACGGTGGCCTTAGCCTTGGCTGCCCATCAGCTCAAGCGTCGGCGCCGACACCGGAAGACGCTGCCCCCGCCCACGGAGAAGGTGGCCCCCAAGTCGGCCGGGGCCCCCGTCCCCATCCTGCCCACCAGGAGGGGGGCCCCTTCCATCAAGAAAGGTGCGTTGGTGTGGACCAAAAGGCAGTGGAGCCCTTTTCATCTCGGAGGCCCCGTTTCCCCCTCTACGCGCCTTCTGTTGTTGTTGTTGTTGTTGTTGTTGTTGTTTATGTTTCTAGCCTGTCTTCCTCCCAAAGGGAACTCAAGGCAGCTAACAATACTGTTGTTGTTGTTCTCTTTTTCCCCATAGGGACTCAAACATTATTATTATTCTTATTCTTATTATTATTATTATTATTATTATTATTATTATTATATTTCTAGGCCAACTTTCTCCCCATGCAAACTCAAGGTGGCTAACAATATTATTATATTATATTATATTATATTATATTATATTATATTTATTATATTACATTATATTTCTAGGCCGATTTTCTCCCCATGTGAATTCAAGGTGGCTAACATTATTATTATTATTATTATTAATTATTTTATTTCTAGACCAACTTTCTCCCCATGCAAACTCAAGGTGGCTAACATTATTATTATTATTATTATTATTATTATTCACTCCATTACTTTCCATGTGAACTCAAGGTGGCTAACATTATTATTATTATTATTATTATTATTATTATTATTATTATTATTATTATTATTCTCTCCATTACTTTCTCCCCATGTGAACTCAAGGTGGCTAACATTATTATCATCATCATCATCCCACCTTTCTCTCCACAGGGACACAAAGCAGCTGACAATAAAAGTATTATTATTATTATTATTATTATTATTATTATTATTATTAATTATTTTATTTCTAGACCAACTTTCTCCCAATGGGAACTCAAGGTGGCTAACAACATTATTGTTGTTATTATTGTTGTTATTGTTATTATTGACTTTTTTTCTAGCCTACCTCTCCCTCTGCTTTCCATGTTGTTTCTGCTCTCTGCTTCGAAAGTTTTGGAGAAGCCCTGCTAAGGGAGGACCCCCCTTTCTCCTTCCCTTCCAGGCTCCTCGGGGAGGCGAGTACAAAGCCCCAGCAGCAAAAGCAATGACACTCTCAGCGGGATTTCCTCCCTCGAGCCCAGCAAACACTCCAGCTCTTCGCACAGTTTGGCTTCGGTGAGCAGCTTGCACCTTGGCACACTGTCAGAATAATAATAATAATAATAATAATAATAATAATAATAATAATGACATAAATATAGACATTTATGTACAAGGCACCTGTACACACACATATACAGTACGCAGGAGTCACGGTGCTCTCTGGAAGTGGGAAATACATTGATACAAACAAACTTTGACTTGTATTATATTTATGGATATGGGTTGTTCTTCCTGCTTTCCTTAGATGGCGGCCCCAAACTCTCCCAGTCCGGCTTCGGCGGGACCCTGGGAGGCCCAGGCCTTAGATGACCCCGGAGCCGCCGGAGACTGCAGCCCCGAAAACCTCTATTTCCAAGGTCAGGAAATGACATTATTATTATTATTATTATTATTATTACTATTACTATTATTATCATCACCATTACTATATTGGATTGGTTTTGGGGGCTGAAAATTGGGTTTATTATTATTATAGATTCATTCACGACCACCCGTATAGCGTCTGCAGCAAATAGATCATCGGAGCTGTTTCGGGTCGTGGGGGAACTCCTCCACCCACCTGTGGTGGAGGAGGTCACTGATGACCCAGCAGCTCGGTGTCGCGATTTCGCACACCATTTTGCAGGTAAAGTCGCTCAGATACGCCTTGAGCTCGACTCCAGTTCCATCGCAGTGCCTGAAGAGGTGACGGAGGCATCTGCTTGTCCAATTTTGTGGGATTCTTTTAGGCTTGTTCTTCCTGAAACCGTAGAGGAGGTTCTTGGGGCTGTGAGGGCGACCACCTCACCTCTAGACCCATGCCCATCTTGGCTCATTAAATCAGCCAGGGAGGGGTTGGTTGACTGGTTTGTGTTGATTATCAATGCATCGTTGGAGCAAGGGATTTTTCCATCTAATTTGAAACAGGCTGTGGTTCGTCCACTCCTCAAAAAAGCTTCCCTTGACTCCACGGTGCTGAGTAACTACAGGCCAGTCTCCAACCTCCCTTTTTTGGGTAAGGTGCTGGAGCGGGTGGTCGCCTCCCAGCTCCAGAGCTTCTTAGACGATACCAACTACCTAGATCAGTCACAGTCTGGTTTCAGGCCTGGTCATGGCACCGAGACAGCCTTGGTCGCCTTGGTGGATGACCTCCGCAGAGAACTGGACAGGGGGAGTGTGACTCTGCTGGTTCTCTGGACATCTCAGCGGCTTTCGATACCATCGATCATGGTATCCTTCTGGGTCGTCTCTCTGGGATGGGCCTCGGGGGCGCGGTTCTGTCGTGGCTCCGGTCCTTCCTGGAGGGACGAACCCAGATGGTGAAGCTGGGAGACGCCTGCTCTGGACCCCTGGCCTTTGACCTGTGGGGTCCCGCAAGGCTCTATTTTGTCGCCCATGCTTTTCAACATCTACATGAAACCGCTGGGAGAGGTCATCCGGAGTTTTGGAGTTGGGTGCCATCTCTACGCAGATGACACACAACTCTACTACTCCTTTCCACCTAATTCCAAGGAGGCTCCTCGGGTGCTGGACGAGTGCCTGGCCACTGTGTCGATCTGGATGAGGAAGAGCAAGCTGAAGATCAATCCCGACAAGACAGAGGTCCTCCTGGTCGATCGTAAACCGGATCGGGGTATAGGGTGGCTACCTGTGTTGGACGGGGTTACACTCCCCCTGAAGCCACAGGTCCGCAATCTGAGTGTCCTCTTGGATTCTTCGCTCACACTTGAGGCTCAGGTGTCGGCGGTATCCAGGAGGGCTTTGCACAATTGAGACTTGTGCGCCAACTGCGACCGTACCTCGTGAAGGCTGATCTGGCCGGGGTGGTCCACGCCTTGGTCACCTCTAGAATGGATTACTGCAATGCGCTCTACGTGGGGCTGCCCTTGAAGATGGCTCGGAAACTTCAATTGGTCCAGCGGGCAGCAGCTAGGATGCTAACTGGAGCTCATTATCAAGAGAGGTCAACCCCTCTGTTTAAGGAGCTCCACTGGCTGCCATTTATTTTCCGAGCCCAATTCAAGGTGCAGGTGCTCACCTACAAAGCCCTGAACGGTTTGGGACCACCCTACCTGCGTGACCGCATCTCCATCTACGAACCCACACGCTCGCTCCGGTCATCTGGGGAGGCCCTGCTCATGATCCCACCTACGTCGCAAGCGCGCTTGGTGGGGACACGGGACAGGGCTTTCTCTGTGGCGGCCCCCCGACTCTGGAATGCCCTTCCAAAAGAACTTCGTCAGGCCCCTACTCTAGCAGTTTTCAGAAGGAACCTAAAAACTTGGCTGTTCCGATGTGCCTTCGCAGATTAGGAATCCCCATCCCAAGTCCTTGAAGCACTTTAGCACAACCAATGTTGCTGCACACCGCACTTTTAATCCTACGTTCCTCCTGCCATTTCAGCACTTTTAACCCCTGTACCCCATTGCGCCGGCCGAACCAGTTTTAATAGTGTCTTGATGTTATTGTCATTGTTGTTATTTTGCTTAATTGTTTTGATTTGCTTTGTTTATTGTTGTGTTATGTTTTTTCTATTGTATTGTGTTGTTGAGGCCTCGGCCTGTGTAAGCCGCATCGAGTCCTTCGGGAGATGCTAGCGGGGTACAAATAAAGTTAATAATAATAATAATAATAATATATTATTATTATTATTATTATTACTATTATTATGTTGGAGTGATATTCAGGGCTATACATGGACATGGGATTATTATTATTATTATTATGGGTAGGATTTGGGGCTACACGTGTACATGAGATCTATTATTTTTTATTACTGTATTGGCTTGATTTTGGGGGCTGGACAAGGGATTTATTATTATTATTTTGCATAGGTTTTGGGTGCTACACATGACCATGGGATCAATTATTATTATTGCTATATTGGGTTGGTTTTGGGGGCTGGACATGGGAATTATTATTGTTGTTATTATTTTGAGTAGGTCTTGGGAGGCTAGACATGGACATGGAATTTATTATTAGTATTATTATTATATTGGGTTGGTTTTGGGGACTGGACATGGGAATTATTATTATTATTATTATTATTATTATGAGTAGGTTTTGGGGGGCTACACATGGACTTGGGATTTATGATTATTATGTTGGGTTGGTTTGGGGCTACAAGAGGACATGAGATGATTTATTATTATTATTATTATTATTATTATTATTATTATTATTATTATTATTCCCTCTAAAGCAAGCGCCTCAAAGAGGTTTGCATTCCTCCTGCTTTGCTCTTCTTCCCTTTTGTACGTCAGCCTTGTTTCCCGACCTCTTTCCCAATACAATCCATTGATAACAAAGGATCTGAGCATTAATCAGATGTTTGAGGAGCTTCCTGCAAGCCCTGAAAGCCTCCTTTCCATGGGTCTCCTTTCTGCCCTGATAGGGATGGAGCTCTTTGAGGAGGCCCTGCAAAAGTGGGAGCAGGCCCTGACCGTCCGGAGCAGAGACCCTTCCGGGAGCCTCTCCGTTACCTGGGACGGCGCTGTGGAACCGCCGCAAATAGACCTCCCGGAGGTAGGCACACCCTTCCAGTTGCATTTTTCAAAGTTTTATATATAAAATAAACTACAAGTGCAATCTCCTTGAATTTTCTATATAATGACACAAGATAACACGGGGTCATTCCCCCCAACTTTCAGAAATATTCATACATCGACTAATTTTTTTAAGTTTTGACATATTATTATTGACATATCTCATTGAAGAACTCTCATATTCAATCAATAGAACCCCTGGAGCTAGTCATGATAGAAATACATTTATTATTGTTGAGATGGACCTCCCCCTTTCAGGTCAGGGCAATGGCAGTTGGGATGGAGAGAGAGGACCTTCCATATACTTCTGGAGCTAGTCATGATAGCAATATATTTATTATTGTTGTTGAGATGGACCTCTCCCTTTCAGGTCAGGGCAATGGCAGTAGGGAGGGAGGGAGGACCTTCCATCTGCTTCTGGAGCTAGTCATGATAGTGATACTTTTGTTGTTGTTGAGATGGACCTCTCAGGTCAGGGCAATGGCAGTTGGGATGGAGAGAGGGGACCTTCCATCTGCTTCTGGAACAACTCATGATAGAAATACATTTATTGTTGTTGTTGAGATGGACTTCTCCCTTTCAGGTCAGGGCAGTGGCAATTGGGATGGAGAGAGAGGACCTTCCATGTACTTCTGGAACTAGTCATGATAGAAATACATTAATGATTGTTGTTGAGATGGACTTCTCCCTTTCAAGGGCAATGGCAGTTGGGATGGAGGGAGAAGACCTTCCATCAATATTGCTGTGGTTGCCTCTCCTGCCTGCCCTCCTTCCTTCCTTCCTTCCTTTGCTCCTTGGCCAGGACAGTGGCAGTTGGGACGAAGGGTCTTTTTCATCTACGGCTTGGCGTAGGCATTGGCAGTTGGGAAGAACACTTTCTCATCTACCTGACAACTTAGACATAATGGAGTTGTGCCTACCTTGTCTTCTTTTCTAGGCCAGGGCAGTGGCAGTTGGGACAACAGGTTTCCCATTGACTTTGTGGCCCGGACACAATCTAGGCTGAGCCTGCCTCCTCTTGTCATCCTTTGGGACCAAGGCAGTGACAGTCAGGATGTTCACCTTTTCCCCCTCATTCCGAATGGCTCTTCATTGTATCTTTAGAGCAGGGTGAAGAAGGAAACCCATCCCGATATAAATCCCTTTTTTTGCCCAGCAGGAATCCCAGAAGAAGGAGTTTGCGGAGAAGCTGGAGTCCCTCTTGCACCGAGCCTATCATCTCCAGGAGGAGTTCGGCGCCACGTTTCCGGCCGACAGCATGCTGCTAGACCTGGGTAAGGGATGCATATCACTTTTAGGGGAAGCTTATGAAACAAAACAAAATCTTTGCCTTATACTTTTTGGGGTTTTGTTTCTTTCCCCCCAGAGAGAACCCTAATGCTCCCCTTGAGAGAGGAGTCACTGAGGCTCCGGGCCGACGATGATGAGGACAGCATGACTTCGGAGGAGTCCTTTTTCTCCGCGGCCGAGGTCAGCGGTGGGGGCACCAGGGACCTTTAGGAAATCCCCCATCGAGTGGGATATTCTCCAAGTTTATGGAGGTTGTCTGGGGAGAATGACAGCTTCTGGAACACCCCCCCCCCCCAATAGCCACTCATAACAACAACAACAACAACAACAGGCAATCACTCATGGCTGAGTATGAGTGGAATAATAATATAGAATCATATAAAATATAAATAGTAGAATCTATATAAATAAAAATGTAATGTTAATTTGTGGGATTAACATAATTCAAAAACCATTGGACGAATGGACACCAAATTTGGACACAAGACACCTCTCAGGCCAACAAGTGACCATCACTCACAAAAACACTGGAAAACACAGCAGAAGAGACTTGAAAAACCAAAACCAAAAAAATACATTACAACACATGCGCAAAACCACATATATACACAAACACACATATATACACAGTCTGGGCCACAGCAACGTGTGGCAGGGGATGGCTAGTAATACTATAAAACAATAATATAATGAATAAAAGTATATAAATATATATAACAATAATATATAGAAGATTAGTAATATTACTTACAGGACCCCAAACCCACATCTAATAATAATAATAATCACTTTGGCCGAGTATGATTGAAATAATAATAATAATAATAATAATAATAATAATAATAATAATAGAATAATAGAATATATGTAGAATATATGTAATATAATAATAATAATAATAATAATAATAATAATAATAATAATAGAATATATGTAGACTATAGGTAATATAACTTCAACTTCCAGGACCCCCCTCCCCAGTCACTAATAATCATAATCATAATAAAAATAAGACTCTGGCTGAGTATGAGTGGCATAATAATATAGAATAATATAAAATATAAATATAATATAAATAATAGAATAATACTATAAAACAATAATATAATGAATAGAAATATAGTAATATAAAACAATAATATAATATAAAGAATAGAAGATTACTGATATTACTTCCAGGACCCCAACCCCACATCTATCAAAACAACAATATCAGCCAATCACTCGTGGCTGAGTATGATTGAAATAATATATATTTATACATATATATAAAAATAGAATTTATGTAGACTGTAAGTAATATAACTTCAACTTCCAGGACCCCTCCCCCACTCACTAATAATAATAAGAAGAAGACTCTGACACAAGCTAGTCAAGGGGTTCCCAGTGGTGATCGGCACACTGGGTGCAGTGCCTAAAGACCTTGGCCTGCACTTAAACACAATCGACGCTGACAAAATTACCATCTGCCAGCTGCAAAAGGTCACCCTACTCAGATCTGCACACATTATTTACCAATACATCACAGAGTCCTAGACACTTGGGAAGTGTCCGATGCATCACAGAGTCCTACACACTGCACACATTATTTACCAATAGTATTATTTATTATTATTTGCTGCATTTGTTGACCGCCGTTCTCAGCCCTAGGGCGACTCACGGCGGTGTACAACATATAAAAGACAAATTTACAGTAAAGCACTAACACAACGAAATATCATCCTAACTATCAATAATACACTAACAATATAATTACACTAAAATAATCCGCTCCGTCTCATCGTAGAATCATAACCAATCTCATAATCCATATTCCGTTCCAGTCGTCATTGTCTGTTATTATAGCACTTAGTTAAATGCCTTCTCGAATAACCATGTCCTTAGGCTCTTACGGAATGCCATAAGGGAGGGCGCCTGTCTGATGTCTACAGGGAGGGTGTTCCACAGCCGGGGGGCCACCACTGAGAAGGCCCTCTCTCTCGTCCCCACCAGACGTGCCTGTGAGGCAGGCGGGATCGAGAGAAGGGCCTCCCCAGACGATCTCAAGGCCCTCGTGGGCTCATAGGCCGAGATGCGGTCCGAAAGGTATTTTGGGCCGGAACCGTTTAGGGCTTTGTAGGCCAACACCAGCATCTTAAATTGGGCCCGGTAGCAGATCGGCAGCCAGTGGAGCTGGAACAACAAGGGCGTTGTATGCTCCCTGCGTCCTGCTCCTGTTAGTAACATGGCTGCCGCGCGCTGGACTAGCTGGAGCTTCCGGGCCGTCTTCAAGGGCAGCCCCACGTAGAGAGCGTTGCAGTAGTCAAGGCGGGATGTGACCAGAGCGTGTACTACCGTGGCCAAGTCAGACTTCCCCGAGGTACGGGCGCAGCTGGCGCACGAGCCTGAGCTGTGCAAATGCTCCCCTGGTCACCGCTGAAACCTGGGGATCCAGGCTCAACGATGAATCCAGGATCACACCCAAGCTGCGAACCTGCGCCTTCAAGGGGAGTGCGACCCCATCCAGCACAGGCTGTAACTCTATACCCTGTTCGGCCTTGCGACTGACCAGGAGTACCTCTGTCTTGTCTGGATTTAATTTCAGTTTGTTCGCCCTCATCCAGACCGTTACAGCGGCCAGGCACCGGTTCAGGACCTCGACAGCCTCCTTAGTAGCAGGTGGAAAGGAGTGACAGAGTTGGACATCATCTGCGTACAGATGCCACCGCACCCCGAAACTCCGGATGATCTCACCCAGCGGCTTCATGTAGATATTAAACAGCATGGGGGACAGTATAGAGCCCTGTGGAACCCCACAGGTCAAAGGCTGTGGTGTTGAACAGGAGTCCCCCAATAACACCTTCTGGGTACGACCCTCCAGAAATGACTGGAGCCACTGCAGAGCAGTGCCCCCAAGACCCATTTCCGCAAGGCGCCCCAGAAGGATACCGTGGTCGACGGTATCGAAGGCCGCTGAGAGGTCCAGGAGCACCAACAGGGACACACTCCCCCTGTCTAGCTCCCGGCGCAGATCATCCACTAAGGCGACCAAGACCGTCTCAGTTCCATGTCCCGGTCTGAAACCAGACTGTGCCGAATCCAGATAATCCGTGTCTCTCAAGAATACCTGGAGTTGTGAGGCCACCACGCTTTCCATGACTTTGCCCAAAAAGGGGAGATTGGAAACAGGCCGAAAGTTGTCAAATTTAGTGGGGTCCAATGATGGTTTCTTCAACAGCGGTTTTATAATAGCTTGTTTTAAGCTCGCTGGAATCTTGCCTTCCCGAAGGGAGGCATTAACCACCATCGTTACCCACTCAGCCAATCCCCCTCTGGCCTCCTTCAGAAGCCAGGATGGGCAGGGGTCTAGGATGGACGTGGTGGGCCTCATTCCTCCAAGTATCTTGTCCACATCCTCGGGTTTCACAAACTGAAAAGAATCCATCAAAATAGGACAAGCAGGTGCTCGTGTCACATCCTCAGAGACTGCATTTAAAATGGTGTCCAGCTCAGAACGGATCAAAGCGACTTTGTCTGCAAAGAACCGAGCAAATGCTTCGCAGCGCGTGCCGAATTGTCAGGGCTCCCGCCTGGGGTGGCGGGAGTTAAAAGACCTCTGACAATCCGAAACAACTCCGCCGGACGGTTTTTTGCAGACGCAATAGTGGCCGCAAAGAAAGTTTTCTTTGCGGCTTTTATTGCCGCGGCATATGCCCTTAGAAAGGACACAAACCGTGCTCGATTTGACTCACTCGGATCCGAACGCCACACGCTCTCTAGTTCCCTCTTCCTTCGCTTCATCACTGCCAGCTCCTCAGTAAACCAAGGAGCTGGTTTAGCTCGGCTACTTGAGAGGGGACGCTCCGGAGCGATCATGTCAATTGCCCTGGTCATCTCCCCATTCCAGAGAGCGACCAAGGCCTCGACATGGTCACCTACCGAGGTGGCGGGAAAATCCCCAAGAGCCGTCAGGAATCCATTCGGATCCATAAGCCTCCTGGGGCGGACCATCTTAATGGGTCCTCCACCTTTGCAGAGGTTAGGGGGCGCAGTGAGCCTAAATCTGATCAGGAAGTGGTCAGTCCATGGCAACGGAGAGATGGACAACTCCTCCACACCGCCACCCTGCTCCCATCCCTGGCAGAAAACCAAGTCCAATGTATGTCCAGCACAGTGGGTGGGGCCAGATATTTGTTGGGACAGCCCCATGGTTGCCATGGCAGACATGAAGTCCTGAGCCGCTCCTGTGAGGGTCGCCTCGGCATGGATATTGAAGTCTCCCAGCACCAGAAGCCGTTGAGACTCCAACGCCAGGCTCGAGACTACCCCCGCTAGCTCAGGTAGGGAGACTGTAGTGCAGCGAGGTGGACGGTACACTAACAGAATCCCTATTCTGTCCCGGTCACCCACCCTCAGGTGGACACATTCAAAATTTGTGGTCTGCGGGATGGGACTCCTGGTCAGATGGATGGAATCTCTATAGACCACTGCGACCCCGCCTCCCCGTCCTCCGGATCTCGGTTGGTGCTGTACGGAGAAGCCTGGAGGACAAAGCTGGGTAAGATTCACGCCTCCAGCTTCATCCAACCAGGTCTCCGTGATGCACGCCAGATCTGCCCGCTCATCCAGGATTAGATCCTGGATAAAGGTCGTTTTTCCGTTGACAGATCTGGCGTTCAACAGCACCACCTTCAATCCGGAGGGCCCGCCAACCTGGTTACACCAATTTACCTTAGGAGACCGGTTTGGGATTATTAATGTAGATAAGCGGTCCGAATTAGGCCGAATTTGAGGTCTCCTTTTTCCGCATCTCCCCCTCCCCACCACGACCTCTATGGGGCCCCTCGGCTAGTGGAACACCTCCCCTCCTCCATGCCGCAGTCCAAACCAAGGTCTTAATTCCTGCTCCGCTAGTTGTTTGGTTTGTTGGCCCTTGCCAACTCCCTTGATCCCCTTTCTCCCCCCTCCCCACCTCATTGTTGTCCACAGACTCCAGCCCACTTCCTCCCTTGCCCCTTCCACTAGTCACTAATATCAAGGACAATACAAATAGGGGGATGGGGATGGGGAACCACATGGGTAATAATAGTACACTTCAGTAAGATTGATGGTAATAAAGCGTCTCAGCCCCGACAGTTAGATAGTTCATAAAGTGCAAGAGTCTTAAAGTGCAACACAGTAGGCGTCACAGCTGCGTGCCACTAGGGCAATTCATAAAGTGCAAGGATCTTAAAGTGCGACGAAATACCCGAATCTGGCTCGCAACGCTATCTAAAGTGCGGCATGGAGGGATAGGGGAAGGGAGCGTAAGTGCTAGTACGATAGTACTACTAACAATACTAATAATAGCACTGGAGGGAAGGATACTAGAGACAAAGTTGAAGTCCTTTGGCCACATCATGAGGAGACAGCAAAGCCTAGAGAAGACAATTATGCTGGGGAAAGTGGAAGGCAAAAGGAAGAGGGGCCGACCAAGGGCAAGATGGATGGATGGCATCCTTGAAGGGACTGGACTGACCTTGAAGGAGCTGGGGTGGTGACGGCCGACAGGGAGCTCTGGCGTGGGCTGGTCCATGAGGTCACGAAGAGTCGGAGACGACTGAACGAATGAACAACAACAACACTAGTAGTAACAGGCTTACTTTTTTCCCCCTCGCAGTTGTTTGACTCCCTGCAAATCGGAGAGGCTCCTTTCCCGCTCTCCAAACCAGCGGCCGCTTACGAAGAAGCCTTGCAATTGGTAAAGGAAGGATTGGTTTGCTGTCGGACTTTCCGGTGAGTGAGTCAGGGCCAGGATTGGGCAGATTTCGAGGGGTCTGTATATGGGGTGGGTGGATAGATGCACATGGCTGCTAGCATTTTTTTATTTTGTATATTTGCATATTTTAAATGGTTATGCTGATGCTTTTGTGCAAAGTCGCTTTGAGTCTCCTTTGGGGGAGATAAAGCGGCGTATAAATAAATATGATAATGGTGATGATGCCCTGTTTCCCTTCCTTCTTCCAGCACGGAGCTGCTGGGCTGCTACAGTGACCAGGACTTCCTGGCCAAGCTCCACTGCGTCAGGCAAGCCTTCCAGGTATCTCTTTAAATCCCATTCATATTTAATTCTATTTTTAATGTGTGCATGCTTTAAATTGTAGTGTATTTCTCTCCAATACAAATAATAATGGCTGCTTCCAATGGGACGTTCTCTTTGCAGGAGCTTCTGCAGATAGAGAGGAACCAGCGCTTCTTTGGGGAAGTGGGGAAGCGCATGGTGCTGGGACTCATGGCCAAGGCTGAGAAGGTAGGCATCGCTCTTCAGGGTTTGAACTGCTTCTTGATCCCATTAATACTTAATTATATTTTAATATTTGCATATTTTTAGCTTTTAATCTAAAATATTCAAATTTTACTGTGAGCCACTTTCAGGGTTTTTTTAGAGAGAAAAAGCAGGGTACATATAATAATAATAATAATAATAATAATAATAATAATAATAATAATAATAATAATAATATAATTATATAATTATATGATAAATAATAATAGAAACAACTGGAAAAGCTGACATGATACAAGGATTTAAAGTGTCCGATGTGTGAACCAATACAACAGCCAGCAGAGTGATCTTATTTGCTGTGGACTCATCTTGTTGTGTTTCAAATAATAATAATAATAATGTGTATGTTTAAAATTGTATTCTGATGCTTTTATGTGAAATCACTTTGAGTTTCCTTTAGGAGAGATAAAGTGGGAAGTAAATATAATAATAATAATAATAATAATAATAATAATAATAATAATTTGAGTTTCCTTTGGGAGAGATAAAGCGGGGAGTAAATATAATAATAATAATAATAATAATAATAATAATAATAATAATAATAATAATACTTTGAGTTTCCTTTGGGAGAGATAAAGGGGAAGTAAATATAATAATTTATTTGTCATGTCAGGAGCGACTTGAGAAACTGCAAGTCGCTTCTGGAGTGAGAGAATTGGCCATCTGCAAGGACGTTGCCCAGGGGACGCCCAGATGATTGGATGTTTTTATCATCCTTGTGGGAGGCTTCTCTCATGTCCCCGTAGGAGGAGCTGGAGCTGATAGAGGGAGCTCATCCGCCTCTCCCGGATTCGAACCTGCGACATGTCGGTCTTCAGTCCTGCCGGCACAGGGGTTTAACCCACTGCGCCACCGGGGGCTCCGAATATAATAATAATAATAATAATAATAATAATAATAATAATAAACCACTTTAATAATAATAATAATAATAAACCACTTTGAGTTCCCCTAGGGATGAGAAAAGCGGTATATAAAATGCTGTAAATAAATAATAATAACACTGAGTTTCCTTTGGGAGAGATAAAGCGGGGAGTAAAAATAATAATAATAATAATAATAATAACAACAACAACAACAAAACAACAACAATAATAATAAGGGACATTGCTGTATAATAATAATAATAATAATAATAATAATAATAATAATAATAATAATAATGGAGTCTTACAGTGTAATAATATTAATAATTATTATCACTATTCATCTCTTCTTGCAGCTAGATAATGATGATGATAATAATCATTATTTTATTACCCACCTGTCTATGCAGCATAATAGTAATTATATTAGCTGCCTCTCCTTGTGGCTGAATAATAATAATCCATTCATTATCTACCTCTCCTTGCAGCTCTATTAATATTAGTAGTAGTAGTAGTAGTAATATTGTTTTACTCACCTCTCACAGCTCAATGATAAATTATTATTATTATTATTATTATTATTATTATTATTATCCAGCTCTCCTTGCTGTGATGAAGCATGCGAGGAGGGGGCTAGAGCGCACTTGGAGGAGATCTCGGGACGTGTCTGATTGAGCACGGGCTACAGCCTCTCTTAGGGTGTATACTGTGGCTATACAGGTAGCCAAGGAGTCCTATACGACTACCCGTATAGCGTCTGCAGCAAATAGATCTTCGGAGTTGTTCCGGGTTGTTGGGGAGCTCCTTCAGCCACCTGTGGTGGAGGAGGTTTTTGATGACCCGGAAACTCGGTGTAGCGATTTCGCACACCATTTTGCAGGCAAAGTCGCTCAGATACGCCTTGAGCTCGACTCCAATTTCACCGCAGTGCCAGATGAGGTGACTGAGGCATCTGCTTGTCCAACTTTGTGGGATTCTTTCAGGCTTGTTCCTCCTGAGACTGTGGAGGAGGTCCTTGGGGCTGTGAGGGCAACCACTTCGGCTCTGGACCCT